ATCTAGTGCTTACTCGTATTTGCTAGGTAAATCCTACGCGATGTAAGATACGTTTATGTAAAGGTGGGACGAATATTTTGTTTACATACGATTTAAAGTTCGTAGATGCGTATAGCGTCTTGTTTACGAGGATTAGATTGACCTAATAATATTATATTCATGTCATCTCACACATCCAGACACAAGTTTACAAATTTGTATGGGTGGGTTTATACTACGATTCCTTTTATGTAGGTACTGTAAATGTGTAAATAGTGGTCACAAGTGTACATTATACATAATATTAATTAGTAAACAATTATGTAAATACAGCAGTAATAAACGCAGTTCTTGTACATTTGTATTGATGTCTGATGTGAAAACTTTAATAGTTATAATTTAATCAGTGATTTAAGACTATATTTAGACAATTTGATTTTGTGGAAATGAAATTTCTGTACGAAATGGGTTAACCTCATTGTATATCTGATAAAAATAAAATGATTTTTTGGGTTCAGTACCCAAAATAATAACACGGTAGTCAGGCAGAGGCGCATCCATCAACCATTTTTCATATTTTAGTCAGACTTGCAAAAAATAAAAATATAAAGGCCGCAAAAGTAATCTCCTCTTCCATAATCCTGCCCAGTATAGATCGGTCTAAACTGATCTATATCATTGTAATTTATTTTCTTATTCACGGATAAGAAAATGTATGGATAATATATTAATATATAATTATACTAAAATAACAAATAATTGTTGATTTTGTATTTTTTTTTTTACGTCTGTCACCAGCTTTCGGAGTGGACATCTTTAATATTCAACTTTGAAGTTTGAGGGTAGTTTTTGGTAGCAAATTATAGTTAGTTGGTACTTTGCAATTCAAAAGAATTCTAGGTACTTATAAAAATAATGAGGGAAAAAAATAAATTAATGAAAAACGTGGATATTATTGCAAAATCAAATTTTGATAAAGTCAATTTTATTTTTTTAGTTAAAAAATAAATAATTGTAGATTTGATTTTTAGCATGTTCTAGATATGATACAAATTTTATTATATTTTATGTTGTTTGTAAACATAAAATATTTTTCTCGAACTACGTTGGTATATTTTTTGTTAATAACATAGCTTGAAATTTAATATAGTTAGAAAATTTTTTTTATTTGAATTTTAAATAAAAAGTCTACTGTAAAAAATAAAAATTGTTTGGCGATTAATTTTAAAATTTTGACAAAATTGAATATTCACGCATAACGTAAAATATTTTTCCTTTAACGATTTTTATTACTTTGTTATTCAAAAAATGTTAAATTTAGAAAATTAAAACATTCCACTATTATTTAAACGTTTATTTTTCATATAATTTTAAAACATTTAGACTAATTTTAAGCAATATAGGCAATTTATATTTTTGATATAGCTTAGTTATATGTTTTAAGTGTTGATAAAAATGTTTAGAGTCGGCTAAAATGCTTGAAAATTTAATATAATATTTCACATGAGCTTTGGCTATAACAATTTAAAAATATGAAAAATAAATAAAGGCATATATTTTTATATACTTTTGAAGTTTGAATTTGCAAGTTATTGTTAATTCAAAATGTATAAAATTTTAACTTTTAAAAAATAAGACTTGAAAATTAAATGCAAGATTCTACATATATTCATTTTCTGTATTTTAAAAATAACTATTTATATTCAACATTTTTTTATTTTAATCCCTAATTAAAATGTTGATGATATTGAATTTTGAAATAAAAAATAACGATTTCTGTTATATTGTTGTAATTAAAAAAAATAATACTATTTGTGGAGACTTAAACATTTTTTCACTTCGTATATTATTGAATATTTACAATAATATTTTCTAAAAATATTGATTCATTTTAAATCACGTAACCATGCCGTTTTATAGTATTGATTAAATAAGTAAATAAAAACTATTGATATTATACTATGAAATAACATTATAATAATAAAATTGTTATATGAGATTTTTTTGGCAAAAATTAATCCAACTTACCGCATTACACTAAGACCTGATTTAATGATAACATTTTTAAGTCCCAGAAAAAAGATAACTGTTATAATGTATTTTGAACTGTCTATACAGTATACTCTAATACGAACTCTTTCTATAACGTATAGCTGTATAGTGTATACGTATCACGTATATATATTAGTATATTGTATATACTAGGCTAGAGCGTCGTCGGTCTGCAGTTATAGGAATAAGGCACGCAATAATGCTAATGATAATATTAATTGCGTATATTTATAATTAATATGTTTATTTAACATATTTTTAATTATATGTATACGCAATATGTAATAACATTTACTATTGGTTTATAAATAAAAATACAATATTTTCATTAAATAGATACATACCTACTTGTGTTTAACTAAAAAAACCCTAAAACATAACTGCATATTATAAAGGACACTTTTATTTAATGGTCCTGCAATTCAAAAACATGTTTCACTGTGTGCTTATAAAAAAATAAATTATTAATAGTAATGTATCATAAAATATCTTTAGAAGTATAGGCTGACAGACCTAGTATAATCTCCGCTCAGAATCATTTTTCATTGCAGTGTACATTGATTTATTGTTAAATTTAAATTTAATACATCTATTACAGCGATTTATTATATAAGACAACAGTGCGATTTCTTTGGTTAGGTTTTTAATTACTAGTTCAAATTTTTATCGCATTTTAAGCATTTGCTTATATTTTTCCTCCTATTAAATTTGTTACCGATTTTATATAATATGATGTATTCGGTTATATAAAAGCCTCACATCAACGCTCTTAAATTATAAACACTAGTTTTGAGATAATATTTCAAATGATCGGTTTAACACTCAAAATACATAACATAATTATTTAATTAAATTTTAAGCGTAGGCAATATACCGGCTCACTGAAGCTTAGAACTTTTAATAGTCCATAATCCGTTAAAATGGGTTAGAATAATTAAGTTCAATACCTAATCTAACAAAATATAGTTCAGCTCACTGAGTTAAACTCAGTAATTCACTGTTTCAATTCGGACTTGGAAAAAGGCACCTTTTGTATAATATTATGTTACAGTAAATTATATTATACATCAAAATAACTTTATTTTCTAGTAAATAATAATAATTACCTAAAAAGTTAGTAATTATTATGATTTATTATTTTGATTATCGATAATTTCTACACATGATGGAAAATTTTGTTTTAATGTTGTCTTATTGGTATTAGATAATTTAGATAATATAGTATTACAGTTGCTATAGACAGAACAAATAGAATAAAAAGTTAATAAATAGTTAAATATAAACAGATCCAAAAACTAAGATATCTAATATATATCAGGTCTTACATAGTCCTGATATGTTTATAAATAAGCTTAGGGGAGCTTACTAGTGTATAGGATTTCATTATAACTATAGTGTAGATAATATTTTTATCAGTCTTTCACGGTGGTTAGGTGTGTTAAAATATAAGTAAAATTTTCTTTAAATTGTATTATTAATATAATTCAATATGGACGAACTTGATATGGAAATCAAATTTAACAATATTGTATCTGATATAATTAATAAAAACATAGCGATAATAACTCATTTATAATCATTGATAAATATAACATTCGTATTGAACAATTAAAACATTCAAAATTTGTGTTAAAAATATTAGGAGAAAAAAAGTAAAACAGATTATTGAATGGTAGGTAAATATGATATTTTAACAATAAATAATAAAGAGCGTCTTATTAAAGATATTAAGGGCGATACGGGACTTTTGGGTTATACCTTTTTTGTAAAATTAACTATATAATACATAATACAACAATACATGTGTAATAAATAATAATTATAATTAGTACAGCACCTGATCCTAATATTTCGGCCATTTTATAATTATTTTAAATATCGAGTTTTATTTTAGTTAATGAATGTAAAGAAAATATAACAAATGAAAGAAATAATTCAATTAAATGATTAAAAAAGCAAGCCGAAAGGATGATGACACACTCAAATAAAAAATTTCAAGAGTTGAAAGTAGGAACCTGACGTTGACAAAGCCCGCAGATCCCCTAGCAATTTATTAGCAGTTTTGCTAATGTTGATAAATGTTTTTTATAAATTATGTATCTAAGTAAAATAAAATACAAAATTAAAATGTATAGGTATTCATGAATTTAGATTTGAATTAGGTACTGAAAAAGATTATCTCAAACTCTAATTGAATAAAATGGAGAAAAAATGATAAAGATATTGTAAAACGAATAAATACATCTTCTGAGTAATTGGGAAATTATGCAATTCAAAATATTATAGTTCATTATCATGTGAAAATAAATAATTATCTACAATATAAAATTTCTAACAAAATTAACATGATTAAATAATACTGTTTGGAATTAACGTAAATCCTTACAGTAATTAACGTTATAAACCTAGTAAAATATTCGTTATTATATAACGTTAATTGCTGGTTAATAGCGTTATAATATATCTTTTACTGTAATTACACACACACACATAATATATAATATATACAGAAAAACTTAAGTTATCAATTTTTTTTTTATTTTATACAGATATTTTTGGATTATGTATATATTTTAATATTAAAAACAGCACAACAATAATATACACATTTTCTTTTTTAAAAGCACATGCGATTTTTAAAATTCATTCTATTTAAATTTGTTTTTAAATTTTAAGCGAACAGTATTTTATTTTTAAATAAGTATATTATATATTAATGTAATTATGTCACACCAATTTTGATTAGTAAAGACAAGTTGAGTTGATTTATTTTTTTTAAAAGATACCCATACTTTATCAACTACCACAATTCATCTGAAGTACAAACTAAGACTAATTACTTACATTGTGTTTTAACTTCATTAATGAAATAATTAAATTATATAAATATAACATTTTTTGTAAAACACATTAATATCTTTTAGTTTAATAGGGAAAGGTATAGGTATATTGTATAATATTATATTTACCTCCGCGACGTTCCGCATTTTTTAAAATCTCTGTTACAAATAGAATGCGATTGTTCGTAACCTTCAATATGTTGGGATAACAATTTCGGAAACAATATATGTTTTTCGTACCTGAAAAAAATTTGTATATAGCTATTAGTGTATTATATTATTTTGTGTTTGTGCTTACGACGTAAATCGTACATTATTGTTCTTTTAGTTAAGTATGTATTGGCACTTTTATTGTTTCAACTGAACAAAATAAAGCATTTAAAATAATCAACATTTTGACGCATGTTTTTCATTTTATATGAAATAACTGAATCATAAATCATAAATATACGCTAAAAATTATAAGTGATCTGAAATTGAGGGATGATAAAGATAATTATAAATCACTTAGTTTAATACGAGTACATCTAAGTAAAAAATTGTTTACAAGAATAGATAAATTAAGAATATTTAAATTCAAGTATTAGATATTAGATCTAATAATATATATGAGTATTTTACTTATAAATGGAACAATTTTTAGATTTAAGTAAAATAATAGCACTTTAGTATTGGTTTTAGAGAGAAATCATCAGATATTTTTTTATATTTAAATATACTCGTATGATCCATGTAAATATCAGAAATTGATCACTTCTACGAATCATAAATTTAGCTAAGAATCCACGCATACATTTAAAACCAATATTTAAAATAATTTTTCAGAATTTTTTGCAAAATTGTATACAACTACTTAACAATAAATAACGCTAAACATTTAAAAACGGTTATGGATACAAATATACAATAGTATATCGAACTTTTAAATTAAATATTATAACCTAATAATACTGATAACTGACTTGCATTGAGGTGAATGATTATTCAGTATTTTTTCATTTATTGTTATAAAACTACGTAGGTATTAAATTATTAATCCGTAGGTAATTAACCAATTAACGCGTAAATTAAAAAAAAAAAATCGTATTTTAAAGTTTGTTCGTTAATGGATTAAAGGGAAATACAACAGTTTAACTTTATCGTTCTTTGATTATTTAATTTATATAACAACTTTATATAAACAAAATCAATAAATTATAATTACTTATTTAAGTATATTACCAGCTAAATATAAATTATTTACCTCGTCGATTTTAACAAAAGTTTTAGGATTAATTCTAATGAATCGAAATGTACAGAAACGATCTGTTTGAAATGTGTATAATATGGTAGTTAATAACTAGATATAAAAATAAAGCAATTCGATGAGTTTTTTTTCTAATAATTTTTAATAATTTATTTCACTACTTTTATGCGGTCACGGCCGTAGAAACATCGTTAATAAACGAAACTATTAGAAATAAAAAACGAAAATTTTTACTTACAACAGAGCGTAAATTGTTCGTACTAATTTGGACAAAGGGAAGTGTGGATAATCGATTTGTGTGAATAATTAAACAAAAATTGAAACTTTAAAGTTAATTAGGTATTAATGTTATAATTATCAATTAAATATATATTAAACTTGAATGTATTATCTAAAAAAAAAAAAAATTAATATATACTTAAAAGCTAAATAAAGTACATTTATTTATTAATTGTCTGAAACTGGTGCACCGCGAGTTCTAATAAAAGTTTGGAACCCAGGCTATACATAATAAGGTAATCAATCTGTGTTGAGTAAATCTATATTTTTGTTGATAAGTATTTAAATATGCGAGTTAATATCACCAATCGATTACACTTACTACTTTTGATTTATGATGTAATAATTATATGTTAGTGTTCTATAATGAAATATGGGTAATGAGTATTCCAAAGTTTATGAGGTTAATGCTATCGAATTCATTACAGCGTTTGGGTTATAATAAAATCTAGCTGAAATACATTAAAAACTAATTCACCATACCATATATAATATAACTCAACTATACCTAACATATTTAACCTAACCATTATGGTCCAAGCAAATTGTATGTAGTCTTCGAAGTAAAACTATAAGGTGTGGAATATAACTGAATCATTAAAATCGGAAATCAGATGTTAATGTGGAACTGAAACCTCACCAAATACCAGTTATCAATTAATTAGTTATTTAAACAAAAATTCGTTTAAAGAATTAAATTTTTTTTAGTATTTACTTAAGAGTTCTTTTTGGTTAAAAAAAAAAAAAAAACATAGAATGGTTCTCACGATAAAATTAATGTTAACAAATAATGAATTAACATTTTTATTATAACTTATTAAATTAATTATTCAATATTTTAAATAATAATAAATAAGTATTTAAGTATATTTAAATACTTAATAATAAAAGTAATAAAAAACTGCGGAAGTTGATCTGTTGTAGTTGTTGATAGTACTCCTTAATTGAGTAAGTCACTGTAATGGATGTGTTAAATTTGAATTCAATAATAAATCACTGTACACGAAAAACAATTCCGAGTGGAGACGGTCTGTCAGCCTATATTTCTTAGAATAATTGATTATATATTTATTCAGTATCATGGTCTGTATCATGAGTTACGTAAAAAAAATAGCAGCGTCAAGACAGTGTAAATGTATCTGAAGCAGAGTTTACTCATTTGTTTATTTCATTGTTTTTGGAGGCAATTAATTAACTGACGAACCATTGAACCTATTTATTTCAAGTATACATACAACTATCAAAAATATTTCGAAGATTATACTTTTGTAAATTGTATTTAAGTAATGCAAATAAAAATTGATTTATGAAGCAAAATGTGTCGATTTTTATGAACAAATGAATAAAAGATAATGAATAATCTCAACGGTGGCCATGTTTATCAAATAATCATTGATTATTCCATATATCCGCAATACCACCCTCATCTTTAAGACTGTTCATACAGCTTTTTAGGAGAGGTTGGATGCTACTGAAATGTCAAAAAAAAAAAAAACATAAATTGAAAAAAGACTGAGAAGAGTTTAAAATTTAAAAGTCAATTAATGATATGAGCCAAAATATTTTTAAAACAATAGCATGTTTAGAAAATGTTGATGTGGATATTCGTTGAAAGATTCAAGTCTGCACTTATTTATTTTTTCATTATAACAAAAAAATTCTCGCTTTTCCTTAATCGTTTTTTTTTTTTTTTGTTTTTCTCAATTATTTAAAAAAATTAGTAATAGGGATTTTTAATTTAGTTCCTTCATAGCATCAACTTCTATAGTCAATATATTCCTTAAAATGATATCAGAGTGTCAGCCACATAAAAAGCTAAATAGAATACATATAATACACCCATATCAAAAATCGCTTTGGTTCTAAAATTATTCGATTTTTATATAACTTAAAAGTATACTTTTACTTAAATATTTTACACCTCTGATAACTGATTATATTATGATATATACATATATGTTGCTTATCATGACAAGAACAAATTATTTTCACAGTATATAACTTACCTATATCGCCTATAAGTATAATGTATGATGAAGATTTTTATATTCAAAAATAATACTTAATACAATGGTAATGATTTTAAATCGTCGTAAATATGTAATTTAGAGTAAATATTTGTGTTAAAAATGTTAATATAGTTTATGTAGATATCTATTATTTGATTGTATTTACAATTTTTATTTTTACGACCTATTATTGACATAAAATAAATTTGAGTTCCTGTATGTTTCATCCGGTAGAGATTTATCGATTAAATTATTGTGTCAATGGGCGTTACGGCTTAAGTATAACAGTATAACAACACATCCTTCTATCATATTTAGTAGTTCCATGACGTTGGTATCACGTTATATCAAAGAAAAATGAAATATGCCTAGTGTAAAAGGTTTTTCTTTTGAATTCAAAAAACGCTCAATGAACTTTGTTGTTTTGGGATTCATTAAAAATGCACCCTGTATAAATTTGAAACTTCAACTATACAAGTTTATTCAGTCACAAAAGTTTATATAGACACAGCGAAAGTTTTTAAAACAGCTTATGGCCTGTGGGGCGTGTAATTTAATTTAAAGAAGACCCCATCTAACCTGTACACATCGTCGTATGCGTTCCCGTAAGTAAATACACCGTGAAGAGACGAATGAGCGTGCATGTCGATTACCAAATCGAGTTCCATGTTCTGAAATAAAAAATAAGAGCATATAAAAAATATATTTATAATTACATTTATTAATAAACTAAAATTTACTAAATCATTATGCGTATATTAATAATTAATATAAACATAGCATATTCTATGCTGCAGAGATTGTTTTTAGCGGTGGTGTAGTAAGAAATTTTAACTGTGATAAGAGATGGAAATTTTTTTAAAATTGTTTAAATTACGTATGTAGAGTAGGGATTTAAATGCAATTTGGAATATTTTTCAAAGCTATATAAGTATACTGGTTTTTGTTACAAATCCGTTTAGTATATTATTTACTGAGTATAAGTACGATTTTTTTCTTTTTAAAGCATTTTACTGTGATGTAAAAAAAAACGTCATAAAAGACTTTGACCTGCTATAATATATTAAAGCAGTTTCTACAAAATTGAGAAAATCAAACAAATTTTTATTCGTCAAGTTAATATAGTTAATACAGAAAAATTCAGGCAAGTGGGTTCTGCTCTGCTGTAAAGTATCAAGTGAGTAACTGTAATAGATGTATTTAAATTGAATTCAATGATAAATAATTATATACCAAATACGAAAATGATTTTGAGCAGAGACAGTCTGATGGCTTACATAAGCATATTTTGTAATATTTTTTTTTGATATTTTCATTAAAATAATTTGTTTTACAATTAATATAACAGTAAGTTGATTTAATTTTTGTCGAAAATATTGTACTTATTAAGTTTTTAATATTTAATTAGCATCTATAATAGTTTATGATGTTTATTTTTATTTCATATTTATATTATTGTTTTTAACTTTCTTTTTTTAAATTTTTAAATCTAATAGATATAAAAATACATTTTTCTTATAAATTGATAACTACAAAATAATTTGTAAGTTTTTTAGATTTTACAAATTTTGCCAATTTAAACATTTATAAAAAATATTGTGATTATGTATTTTTAATATTTTTTTACAGCTTTAAGAAAAATTTATGAGAAACTAAGTATTGTGTTTTTAATCTTTTTAATTAAACAAAAATTGTTCTACATTTATAAAAAAAATAAAATACTTATAAATAGCTTAAAAAGAGTCAAAATATTTAAAATATCATATAATGTATCAGAAATACTAAAATAAACACTCGTAAAAATGTCAAGTATTTAAAGTTATTTGTTTTTAATTTATACAAAAAAAAAACAAAATTTATTTTGTCGATTACTGGTTTTGTGTAATAATTTATAATTAATTTTTTCTGAATTAGTTTTTGTTTTTGTATATCATTTTGAAAAATACTGGGAATTATTTCTTAAAATACTAATTAGATCTAATTTTCTGTCAGATACCATCTTCAAATTTGGACATGTTTTACTAAATATACTAAGAGGAGATGAAAAATAGAAAAAAAAGTATAGATCATTGTGAAATCAATACATTCATTACTCAACTCAGAATCTAAAAGATGCTTTACAAATATTATTATATTATGTATAATAATAGCAATGTTTTGAAATTTTTTACATACGGAATTTTCTTGGATTTAAGAATTAATATATTTAGGTTTTATTTAGGTGTCAAAAAAAATAATAATAATAATATCGTTGTAATCAATAATATACAGAATATAATGTATATTATATAATTAATATAGATTTTGATTGCAGTATTTCGAAAAAACTATTTAAATAATTCATACTTATCATATATTTTGAATGTTTTATTGCAAATTGTAAACTCATGGGACCCCATATGAAGTTGTTGTTGTTCAGTGCAGCTCACAACATTATCTTCTTGAAGAATGAGTAAATAATAAACTTATATAGAACTTAAATATTTGATTGTTATCGTTTGTGGAAATATTTAATAACGATTATTATTCTATTATCAGTTAAAATTTCAAATTATTTTTCTGTCTGAACTTTTGATGTATAAATCAATTTATACTCCAAATTTAACCTTATTCACTAAGCGTCTTCTTTGCCCCATGGTCTCATGACTAAACCAGTGTGTGGAAAAAGGTGGTTTACCTCATGTTTTTCGATTTCCATTAAGTGATTGTAAACGGCGTATAATATCGGATGGACCCATTGCGATATTTTGTGCCAAGCTCTGTTCAAGTCGATTCCCAATAAATTGGTCCTGTAACGAGTTATACTTTTTTTTAATTAGAATAGAAAAAAGTCTTTTACAACTATAACATTTATTACGAAAATAGGTTTGTTTGTTTTTATTTGTCTAACTACGCATATTATTTAGTCGTAATGTTATCATATTATTCGTTTAATAGTTTTTTATATAGCATTATAGCAAATTAACGGGAACTATTGATTGTCATTTAATGACATGTTCAGATTTTATAAAGGCGAGGGGTATGGATTTTTTCTTACCTTAGACCACATTATAATAAAAATATATATTTTTGAGAAATATATAGACAAAAATAAGTCAAATGAGAGAAGATATGACATTCTCCCTTCTAACTCATTTGAGCACATCACTGTCATCACTCATCATGTATATAAATAGTATCCATAGATCCATTAGTGATATAAATCAAAATATCAATAAAGTAATAAAGTTCTTATTTAGAAAAATGAATTGTAATATATTAAGATATATAATGGGTAATTAAAATAATAGTTATTATTAACTAGACAGTTAACGGAAAATGTTTACCCACCTAGAATTTCCTAAAGTTACTCCATCGGGATTCATCATTGGTATTAATTGAAAGACGACTTTTTTTCGAAGACGAACCACAGCTGGATGGTTGCTAATCAAAAATTCAATAATTCCTGTCACATAATATTGTTGCTTTAAATTAATCTGGTAATTGTATGTGATTATTATTTTAAATATTTACCTTGACAGACATAGGAACTGGGCGTCTCGCACCCATGCACTCTTCCTAATATTACAACGACATGGACTTTTTCAGTTGGATTCATATTCTTCGGATTAGTTATCGTAATCAAGTCTAATCTTTTGTTTTGCTTAAATAAAATAAATAAAAATAGAAATAGAAAACTTAAAAAGCTGTATCATATGATTATTTTTAAATATGATTAAAAAAAAATAATACAATTTTGAGATTTAACTGTATATTTTGGATAAGTATATTTAAATTGTGTTTAGTATGATTAGACTATTATTTTGGTTTTTATTTTTTTCTTTGATTTAGCTATTTTATAACTAACATTTAATTTTGCTTTACTGTTGAGTGGGTGAATTTTCAATTATCTCACCATATTAGAATGCATGTTTTTTTTTATTGTGTCGTTCAATAGAGAATTATGGTTACACGGCATTATGGTTATGCAAATTGGTTACACCACGGTGGTGAGACCACTTTACTGGTTTTTTTAAAATTATTATTTTGATATATTTTTAATTTTTTGTTTTAATATAATTTAGTAGTATGCAATTTTGATCACTATAAATTCTAGGCACACCAAAAAAAGTATTTATATTTAAAAAAATATATAAATTATTATTATTATTTTTATTTATTTATTTATTTATTTTAAGTATATTTATATTTTTTTTCATATTTTCTCAAACAAGCATTTTATTTCAATAATAACTGTAAATAATAGTAATGTTACGCAACTATAGTTATTATTTTAATGATAATCTATAATGTAACAATAATTTCTAATGGTTAACAATTAATAAGTTATTATACGATTATTTTGATGTGATTTCTGTAAATATAATCGAAAAGTTAAGTTTATCAAGATTTTGAAATCCTCATTAATGCTTATATGATAGTTTAAAGATAAAAATAATATTGAAAGCAATTTATACAATATTAAAAAATATTGATTTCATGTTTGGTAATTTGTTATTTGTTTTCAATTCAGTATGTAGAGAGCTTCTAAAGCGTGTTTTCTGTGTTTATATAATAAAATTATATTATGTGCGTAATAACTAAAAGATAAACAAATAACTTCAACTATATTCGTCGTACTTTGTGTGCTGCGTAGAAAATAATATTACATAAACTAAGATTTACTTTGCTTGATTTGAAAATCATATGATTTTTGAGATAGTTGGTCAAACATCTAAATCTTAACAAAGTTTAGAAAATCAACAAATCAATGCTTATTATGTTTTAAATGTGTATATGAATTTATATCACGAGTTCACGATGAGTAATAACATACCACTTTTATAATATAAATATTTTAATTTCATTTAGTAATCACATAAAACGTAAGCAAAAAATTAAAGTTAAAGTATAGGAATTAAAAAAAAAAAACTAGTTATAATATTTAATAAATTTAAGTTTGGTGTGGGTAAAGTAACCGATATCTTTTTCATCACTATAACTGTATCTCAATTCTCCTCTAATACCATTCCTCGGATTACTAATGAATATACACTACGTTGACGCTATTTCAGGCCTATGTACAGAAAATTGAATTCAAAAGTCACTGTAATATATTCGGTAAACCTAATACGTGGCGGATTTAACATTTTTACGCTCATGTTGACGTGTTGTGCGGGATTATTTTTTTGCGGTTGAAGACGCGATTTTACGCTTAAACACTGCTGAAATGGCTATGTATATAGATTTATATCATAATTTTGCAATGAACCTTGCAGTATGAATATTTTTCATTTATTCAGAAAACGTATTATTTTATTGTTCATCGTAATTGTATTGCGCACCATAATTATATAGTTTTACTCAATCATTGCATACTGGCATCGCACAATATGATATATGTATACACCACAATATGATAATTTTGTGAAAACCATGCCAGAATTAAAATTTAAAAAATGCGATTGAAATAAATTTTTTATAGTGTAACTGAGATACATATTAAAAAAAAAATGAATTATTATTTAGTTTATGTCGATATAATTACTTTAAATTTTAAGACGTTTATAACAATTGATTATAAATTATATATAATATTATACTATTATTTATAAATAAGACGATTAATAATAACAGATGTGCTGGAAAAACTGTGAATAAAAATATTATTTTTTTTTTAATTTTTATTTTTTTATGATTCTCTTTGCAACAATTAAAATTAAAATACAAATAAAAATAAACTCAAAATATTTAGAAAGCTTTCAATAGAAAATATGACAGTTTAAGTCCAACTTTGTTATGTTTGTTTTATAGATATAAATGTATATATATATATACAATCAAAACACTAAAAAAATGTTATACCCTTTTGTTAAAATTTAATTTGATATTTATAATAGTGAGTAAGAAGTAATAGGAAATTTAGTTGAACTTTATGTTTAGATATGAAAATCATATTAAATTTAAAGTCATGCATGTAAGGCATTATAGTGACAAAAATAATATCATTATCGCATCAAATAACTAGTATACATCATAATAATAAAGCTTTTAGCTAGTGAACTACTAATATTAATAATATGTATCACATTTTAATATTATTTTCAATGCATTTACAAATTCTGATTCAGTTCTGGTTTTCGTACAAATATTCCACTGCTGGACGTGATATTATATTTTTCAATGTATTTTCAATATTTTAATAAAATCTCAATGTTCACAGAAATATTCTACTGATTAATAGAGAATTATGATAGTAATTTGATTATTTCTAAAAATATGTTAAATACGAGTCCGCTTGGACATACACATACACATTAATTGTATTTAAATCAAACTTTAAAAATGTATTACGATCGATTGTCCTAGTAGTTCGCGTTTGAAGTAAGGTAGCTTCTTTTTTTCAATCAGCGATAAATAGTTTTGTTGTCGAGTGTACGAATATGGATACGAGTACGAAAATTGATAGCTATCGTCGTCTTTGTCAAATGAAAACAATATGCTGAGAACGTAGTTGTTGTCATGGTACAACGATCGGTGGTAGTGCACCCTGTAGATCGGTATACGATACCTGAAATAAATAATAAATCTTAAGATAGTAAATTCATGTTTTAAATTTTGTTTGGGTTCGAGCTTTAAAACTTAGACCTTCGTTTCTAGTTTAAAAACTATACTCTTCATCTAGCTCATATAATATATAGACACTGACGTTATTACAATAAACAGTAAGTTTTGAAGTGCATAAACTAATTATTAAGTTAATAACATTATATATATATATATATATATATTCTATAGATAACGTTTGGATGCAGATGTGTATTATTAACAAAGGATTGTTAGAACATTATTTACTTTTAATACATTTTTAGAACAGCTGAACTTACAGACGTAAAGTTACAGGTTTGTTGATTTGTTGTGGAGGGGGAATAGAAAGTAAAATTCTGTTCACCAGTGTATGTTTTGGTTGAGTTGTTTCATAAAATTGAATATATTACATTATAATTACCAAAAAACAGTGTACTAATATAATATATGTTATAACTATGTGGAACTAATATTTACACGTTAAAAATAGTTATTTGTAATCAGTTAAAAAATACAATAAGTTTTTATTAATTGTGATCTTTGGATTGTTGAACCAACCACTCATAGAAAATCAAAAAGCAAAACCTAAACCAAAATTTATATTTTTATAATGTTTAATTGATATTTTATTAAATCATTATAATACCTTATAATTAAATCTTTTTCGATTATTTTTATCTTTGAAATAGTAAAAATAAAAATATAATGAAATCATAAGATAACTATATCATTTTTGGTATATTGCTATATCTAAAACTTGGCCATTAGCACTACTTAAAATATTGTTAATTTCATTTGGGATAAGCACGGTTTAGAAAAATTAAATAAATGGATTGACATACTATAAAAATAAAAATTTTGAAATTGGTAAATATTTAAAAACATATTTTGGGTTTTCATTTTTATTGTCAATGATTACTTCACCGATGTCCTAATTTCTATTTTAATTTCAGATCATCGATTAGAATGCTTTACTGATGAAATTTTAGAAAATTACTTATTTGAAAGCTCTTTTTATCTTACTGTAATATGTACCTTAGTTACATATTCATGGAAAAATACAGCTAGTTGTGAATCTATTCATTCAAAATTCAACGCTATGTTTTATTCAACCAATTCAAATATTTTGTTAAATATACAATGTAAAATATGTATCAAAATAATAAGTACTCACTCCTCATATTATTAATATTAAAAATAATATCAAAAACAAAGAAAAAAAAATCAAAGAGTATGTGTAGTTTCAAACAAAATTTGAATGTATATAAATATAATTTTTATCTTATAAACATGTACCAATATAATAAATTTAATTTAATCATTACTTATATTTATTTATGAAAACGTAGCATATGAGTTATACACAATAATTGTTATATTATTATATTTTAAACAACTGAATTATACGAAATACCTATAATTTTACACATAATAATTAATGAAATACTTTAAAAACAACGTAAAATAATTTTTGTAACTATATCCCTTGTTTGAGAGTAAAGTCTGTAAAAACAGGGAAGTAGATGTTTTTAATATATATCTATATATATTTAGTAAATTTAGACTCTACACCGTCAATTAAAATAATTTTTCTCACTGACAAACTTATTTTTGAACAAAAAACAAGTTATATTGTGAAATACCTGCAGTACACGGACAAATAACGTCTATACCTACACTACCATCTAATTCAACAGGCACAATTATTAGCATAAATGTATTAAATAACCAAAAAATCTAAACATAAATAAAAACAGTAGACACCTAAATATTCACCTATCGCAATGAAATACAACTGGAAAGAAATTCGCTTAGCTACTAATTATCAACATTTATTTCTCTGGACAAAATCTACAAAACCCGTTTATTTTGGCTTAAACCATGGTGTTCACTTTTTGAGCTTTTTTCGACCTGCCACCACCACCACCCACCAATGGTCATAAGTCGATCGTGCGTGTATAATATATAAGTCACCATTATGCGCTGTGTTAAAATGTCACACATCTATTTTATTATCATATGAGAACCTTAACCGTTCGGGCTGAATTCGGACTGAGCGTTTCAGGCAAGACAACGTCTTATCGAACGTATACACTATACAGCATACACCTATTTAAACGGTCTTTAATTACATTATTTAATATTTCCGAAAATTTCAATCTGAATAAAATCATTTTTAAATGAAAGACGGGGGCGAGCGTGCTCAGAGAAACGAAATCCGTATATTATGTAAAATAATCGCACCTTACAATTCAACACACTACACAAATAACAAATAGTATAACTTTATATTGTAAGTAGGTAGTTAATTATTATTTTATTAATTTGGAAGCCGTATTATTAGTGTACCTAATTTATAATTAAACTGTATAATATTATGATGTGCATATAATATACCTATTTATGTTTAATAATACGGTTTGTTAATTAATAATTCACAGGGATGTGAATAATTGAGGCGTGTTGGATGAAGTTACCGCCTCTTCACCACCCCTCTCACACAACAATATCACTCGAACAGTTACCGCCCCACACACCCTCATCTTTTTCACGACTGACACAGGACTTGTTCGCTCGTTAAACTCAAAGATCCTAGTATAACGCAATAGTAACAACAATGTCGGTTAAGTCCGGAGCACGACGGTAAACATGGAAATGATAATGATAATAATAATAATAATAATAATAATAATAATAATAATAATAATAATGATAATAATACATTCGTCCGCGACGTTTTAACTGCACCGCATCACAAATAATTTATTAGAACTTACCACTGCCGCTGTCGCTGTAATCTCATCTGCAAACTTTTCGACGGCTGTTACGCGTTAAACGCCGTGTAATAGTACAAATAAAGTATGATATAAAGTAGTGCGACGCATCGTTGCGCTGCAATATCTATAGAACAGATGAACGTGGAAATTCTAACTGGGATATACATATATATGATATACGTTAAATCCTAACACAGAAAATCGTAGTATTAGTCGTAAACAAAACATAATGTAACGACATTGTGTCGTACACTAGCCTGCATAAATTATGTATATATTATTATACAATATCTTACCTAAATGGATAAACATTAAATTTATAAATTTACAACTAAACCCCTATAACTTTGAACTAATAAAAACTGAGGGCATTATCATAATAAATAATAATATTATAATATACAAAGGGGATTTTAGGTGTAGGTGTCCTTCAACCGACAGCGCTCGTCGCGCACAAAGTTCATTCTGTTTATTATTATTTTTATTAATGTTATTTTTATTATAATGAATATAAAACAATAATTGTTGATTTAATTGTATCTCATATAGTGGAAATAATTTAAATTTTAAACTAAAATTACAATCCAAGATGACTGCATACATAGACACGTGTAAATTATATTATACACGATATATGTATGTATATTATTGGTATTGTTAAACAGAGTTTTAGTATAGTTACAGGTTAGGACAGTTAGGTGATACTAAATATTTTTAAAGGGAAAAAAATTTTAATACTTTTGCTTTGAATACAGGTGTATTTATTTTTTTTTTCGTGAGATGGGATAGCTGTATTATATATATAGGTATTTTTACATTGTGATATACAATTCATTCTTGATTTTTTTAAAAAATTGATCAAAATCACGAAAATTTACTTATTATTTTGTAGTATAAAATTCATAAAGTCTTAACTTTAATACTTTTAAAAATGCATGAAAAATATATTTACTATAAAACTTCAGGTTTCTAAAAAAAAAATGTTTTTTTTTTTTATATTAATTTACAGTTAAATAAAAATGGAATATATTAGAGCCAAAATTCTGATTTGGTCGTATTTGTGCAATTTTTAAATTGCACTAAAAAGCAGTGACACAGTTAAAAGTAAAATGTTGTGCGATGACAATAACTTTGGCGATAAAAAAATTGGATTTTTGCCAAAATGAACAGATCACAATAACACCTACCATAGGAAAATAGACTTTGATTCAAATTAAAAGTCATTCCCTATCAAAACAATTTATTGTTATCTATTTAATGTTAAGACTATAACTGCAGTATATAATAATATACGAGTATAACAACATATAACGCACGACGCACGGAATAGGGATAGAGTCACACAAATATAATTTCATATTTTAGATTATTATTATTATTTTTTTTATATATTTAATCTATATAGGTAATTAAATAAATTAAAAAATATGTAGGAAATTCAACCATTCACAAATATGCATTAGTCATCGATCAATAAAAAAATAGTGAAGACCTGTATGGGACGTTGTATGTATATTATAATATTATTATATATTATAGCTAATAGAGCATATATTGTTGCACGACCATAACAACAATGAAAATACCATGTATTGACGTTTTGCGCACTACTGCATTTAAGCGCAATCGATGGCTGCAGCACTGTGACTGTGCAATGTGGCGGTCATCTGTCCATTTATCACGACTATTTCACTATTTCAGTGGCGTATACCTCGTTATTAAACCATAAGTACAATTTCATTTTTTTCTAATATTATCACTATACGTGAAATCGATATACAATAGGTATCTAAATAACAAAGTGGGTTAAGTATTCTTTATGAATTGAAAAATGATTTTATCTTTTAATAATGAATTTATTGTTATTTTGATTCTTTAAAAATTTTTTAAAATTTTTTAAAATTTTTTAAATTTTTTTTTTTTTGAGTTTTTAAGTAGATATATTTAAACTGAGTTAAGCATCACATAACCAAATGCATACTTGAATTTTTTTTACTATTTAAGGATTATACTGAGGCTATATAAACTTCTTTTATTCAAATAAAAACCATATTTTTGTATACTGTAAATAATTATTAATATGAATATTTTTATAAAAATTTTAAAGTTATTAAATTTAGATAACATCTCATGTTAAAATGGTTTTTAAATAAAATATAAAATTTACAAACTAATTATTCTGATACTTATTATACTCAAAAAGTAAACATGAGTTTTACTGATAATATAATAAAATGTTAATAAATCTGTACCTTTTATAAATAATAATAAGTATAATAATTATTATCAGGTCATCATTGCGCTAAGCTATCTTCTAAATTCATTACCTTGACTCATTATCCTTCGTTATAAAAATTTGATAGTTCATAAAAATACTCTTTTAAATTTATATTTTTTAATTTAAATATATCAAAAATATATATATATATATCTTTATTACCTAATTGTCATAAAATAAATGGGCGGTTCACATTTAAAAAAGAAATTATATCTTTGGAGGACATTCCTTAAATATTATAAAAAATCTAAGTATTTGAAGAAAATATGAAGCTTAAGCATACTTATAAAATTATAAAAATCAGAATAGTGTATGAAAAATGGGGGCGAGTATGCTTGATGAATCACTCTGTTGATAGACGATTGACAATAATAAGTGCAAGCCATTGAGTGCGGAAGCTTGTCGTATGAGTAGGTTGAAAATATATAGTACATACCACGTGTTTCGGCTCGTACTTCTCACTATAGGAGTCATTCCATTTTTAAAAAGGTTGTTTTTATTGCTGATATTTACGATGTTAAATATAACGTTCTGAAATAATCCACGAATATTAAATTAATTAATTTTCAACAGAATGTAGCCATAGGCACAACTGGAACTATTTTTTTTTCAGGAGAGAAGCTGATTGACCTAATATTTTTTCTTTTTTTTAATATGAAAAGTTTCTTTTTGCCCTTCAAATAATTTAGTCTAATATTTTTAATTTGCTTATAATAAATATACATAGGTATACTATTATAGTCTATAGTTATATAAACATAATATATTAATCAATAAATTTTAATTTTAATTTGATTCAAATGACCAATTTTTTGACTTTTCAATTATTTATTTCCAAAACTTCATAATTTTGTGATAAATCAATATATTTATTCACATATTTTAACTGTCAGTAAATATTGAAAAAAGCCAAAGTTTAGAAACAGTTTTGCTGCATTGAACTTGTTTTTAGCCAATTTGTTGTCTCATTGAATAAGAAAATATTTTCACGACTCATCTAATACAATATATACTATATACAAATATATATATAAAATGAGGGAATATTACGATTATGTGGATTACACACTTGATCTTGTCTTGTGTTTTCTACGACGAAATTGAACCACAGTCTATGCCGTGGGTTGCAGGTGTCCGGCCGTATGAATAGATCGTATTCGTATTCACATACCAAATCGATTCTCCCCAAATTTCCTACGACAAACGTACATATTTATAGTAACAAAAATACATTATTATAACAATTAAATTTAATGTTATGACTAATCGTTCCGCAAAAGTATTTTATATTTTATCATATTTTTTGATTTAATTAAATTTTAACCTCGGAATAGTCTGCGAAATCTGAACATCACATCGATAATAATAATGTACAAAATAATCCACCATTTTGTTTGTTAATGTTTTTACCGTTTTGCAAACGTACAACATAGTAAATGTAATTTTAAATTATATAATAAACTATCACGGCATATTATTATTAAACTAAAAATGTAATTAACAACATTATTTCACGTATTTATTTTTACGTGGGTTTTTTACAATAATTTAATTTTTAGCTAGAAATAAAAAAAATTTGAATTTTATATTTTAGGTATATACTTATTTATAACTTGCTTAAAAATTAAAATATCCTACCAAACACAAATTCGGTATGTCGTGTACGTTGCTAAGACGGAGACACTACACGCAGATGTAGCATCCTCTGTCCTCTTAAATGTTATTTTACTTAATAACACGTCTATGTTCGTAATAACCAGTAACTCTGTAGTGTTTTGGCATGACATTATGCGAATAATAATAAAGTTACTGTGCCAAAATTACTTTTGGTATAGCTATGTGCTTGTAATATAGTAAGTTATTTGTGCATTTGTAACGAAATTACTTTTTTAAATTAAAGTTTTATGTTAACGCTTTATATATATTTATTTTTCTAAGGTACATAATTTGTGTTGCAATCTATGTTATTATAATTTAGTATTTTTAAAAACAATGAGTCGTACTTACATTATTATTATTATTGTTTAAATATTATGTTAAGAGAAACAGTAGCGCTCCTAGTGAAATGAACATTTTGCACAATATACACATGTTATACTATACATCTTATTTAAACATTTATTTTAAATTTTTATGAAAAATGTGTGGTTTTTCTACTGGTTTACTGTTAATTTCAAAAAGCAAACTACGCATATTATACTTCTTAATTACTTACTATATATATGAAGTAAAAAACAATGTAAGGTTTATTTATTATAAAGCCCTTATACTGTATTTATTTTATGCAGGCCCACCCGTAGGCTTTTAGAGTAGAGTAATATACAAATTAATAATTGTAATATTTGTAAATGGATCATAATAAATACAAATTTAAATAATTAACCAACTATTTATTAAAAGTTTTTTTTAACAAACATTTTATTTTTTTAAGATGTTTACAACATATTTTTTACTTTTGAAAATAGTCAAATTTGAAAAATTGTGGAAGTTGTGACATATTTGTTTCACCTATATTGAAGAAAGTTTTTTTATTTTTATTTATAAGCCAATTTTTACTTGAAAACTCTAATAAAGTATTTGAAAAAGCTTTGATTTTTAAATAACCTTCTTTGTTGGCTCTTTATGTATGTTTTTACTAAAACAGTTGTGACAATGTCATCTGTTAATGAATCATGATTATAACAAGGCCACAAAGGCAAATACATTTAAATTACACACACACACACACACACATATATATATAATTAAACTCAGATCAAAAATAAATTAGTGAAATATGAATAGAAATATTATTAAATAAAAATTGTATTATCGTTCTAGACTTGACAAAATTTATAGATATTAATTTTAAAACAGTTTACTATACAGTTTTAATCTCTTGGTAAAAACACGAGATGACTAGGAATAATTGGCATTATGGTTATTATGCGTACTTATAATTCCTTACATTTACTTTGCGGTTTGCTAGAGACATAATTTAAATAACAGTATTTATTATTTAACGTACTAAAATTACATTAAAATATAAAAATCTACGAAATTAATTATCCGTAGATTACTATTATTCTAATAATAACCATTTTATTTATTTTATTTTTATATGTTTATATAAATATGTTATACAATAGGTAATCAATAATGTTATGTATGTATCATTATATAGAAAGATTATTTTATCTTTATGACAATGTGTACAGTATAAATTAATGTTTTCAAAAAATTCGAAAAATTTAAAAAACATGATGTTTCTAGCTTATTTGTTTTTACTCTCAGTGATTTTTAATGTATTTTAAGAATTCCCTGAAAATGTATTTAATGTATTTTTTCCAATATAATTTTTCCATGTATTTTCAAATGAAAAGTTTAAGATTTCAATTTCTATTTATAAAACAACAGTTATTATTAATTATTATTATTTAATACAAAATTGTTACGCTAATAGATTAGTTAGTTAAATTATTTGTTTTTATATACATATACTGAACCTATACAATATAACTAATTTTATAAAATTCATTTTGTCATCATAAATTACATATTACCATGACAATATTAGGTACTTATTATATTTAATAGAAATTTAAAATCACGATTTACGAAATTATTTCAAAAAATAGGTACGACACAATAAATTATCCAATAAGGACAAATAAAAATGGAAATATTAATTAGTATCTAACACCTGCCATAATAAGTATTTTGGATACAACTTAAACGGTTTACTTGATAGTAAAAACATTTAAAAAGAAACAAATAATAATAATTATAAATTTTTGTTTGAAAACTTTGCAACACTGCTATCAATACTTCGTAATATGTTGATTGTTAGCAATAATATAATACTCAAATTTTTATTTTTGAATGACAACTTGCTGTGATTTTAATTTTGTAGTCTAATGAAAAATATGTTTATGGAAATACAGTTGACATATAAGTTTGAATAAAACCTATTTGTTTGTTATTTATATATACAAATTGTCGAAAATGATTAATAATATATGTATAATAGGCGCTGCCTAAAGTCCAAATTTTGTTAGAAGTTTTTAATATAAAACGCGTCAATAAATAGGTATACTTTTTGAAATCACGAGATGTGTTCGTTGTTAAAACAATCTGCACCGTGTACATGGTGTATATAAATATTCCTTTCTACAAAGTTTATAGCTCATTGTACATTTGGCAAAAATATAATTAGACTTTAGATATTTATCGATTGTTTATTCACGAACATAATATTATTCATATTTTTCCTAACAGGTATTCGACGATATTGTATAATGACGTGCTGTTCGTTAAACTTCAAATTATTATAGTTATAGTATTATACAGGTATTGGTATACGGATAGTTGTGTATTATGCGTTATACCGTATAATTAATGTCACGTTGCTTATAGGTTAAATATTTATACTTGCATTATTTACGATTAGTTCACACGATCACATCACTGTACGTGTGAGGGTTACGGGGTGTATGATTCATATTATACAGTTCGTCTCAAGAAAACATTGCTAACGAGCTTATATTTAACGACATCCGTTTCGTATAGTATCTATAAATAATTATATTTATATAATAGTATACAAGGTGATTCTTTTATCATTGAACACTCATTATTTCAAAATATGTTGACTTTTTTAAAATTTTTTTTTTTCAAAATGTTTAGTTTTATGCTTTTCAAGAACTATATAAAAATTTTATTTTTTTACACGCTTATATTTAATAGTGAAACCACTATCAACTTTTGATTTTGAAATGGCAACCTATATTTTAAATGTCATACAATAATAGGGCTATTTTTAAGAATTTTAACGTTATAATTATTAATTTCCATTTTAACCATTAATAAGTTATAGCTGCTCAAAGGGGTGGGACCTGTTTCGTCCAAATGCCCGTTTCGCCCAAATTTTGTAATTATAAGATTTCCGTTTCGCCCGGACTAGTTTTTACCAATTTAAAATTAAGCGGGCAATGGTTCAGTCAAGTATTGTTGTGCATTATATTTAAATACCATTTAGCGTTACCCAGATAACACCCCGAGGAGACTCATACGTATTCGTCGTAAGCAGTATACTCGCAGTATTCATGCTCATAGACTAGGAGTAAATCAGTGGCGTATCCAGGGGGGGGGCACGGTGGCCATGCCCCCCCCCTCGTTGGCCGTATTTACTAGATTTTGTTTTAAAGATTTAAATGTATTCGTATGCATGAACGCAATGAACGCATACTACAATAATACTCATACCAGCATTACATACACTTATGATTTTGTTGGGATTAACCCGTTTTTATTATTAAATTGCTATTACTATTTATTATTATGTATATATATTAACTTAATGACTGACTGAAAATATAAACAAATTATTTGCATTATAAACATTAAATATTTGGTTTATTTCATTTTTTTGTTTTTAGTAGTATATATTATGGTAAAATTTTAGACAGTGTGTGCCCCCCCCCCCCTAAAAACATCCTGGATACGCCACTGGAGTAAATGTACTATCCTCAGAAATATAATTGTTTATTAAATAATCACAGTATTTAATAACTCTATTGTCGTTTGGGCATTCTGACATCAAATCTCGTTTACTTTAAAAAAAATGGCCATATTGTTTATACAATTTGTGTGGTTAAATTTATATGTGAAATTTATAGTGTGTAAGTATTAAATATATTTGTGACAAAATTAAAACCTTTGATTGCATGTGAATTTTTTTTAAATAATTTGTTTAATGTACTTGTTAATACTAAAACTTTTTTTAACGCGAAATTAATTAAAAGTTTAAAAATAAATTTTGGATAATAATGAGTATCGCCTCCTTGTGGTGTTCTTTGGGTATCACCAAGTGATACTCAAATAATCAAGTATAATGTACAACAATACTTGACTGAACCATAACCAACTTAATTTTAAATTGGTATAAATTAATATGGGCGAAACGGAAATCTTACAATTACAAATTTTGGGAGAAACGGGCATCTGAGCGAAACGAATGCGGTCATTTTTGGGTGAACGGGTCACGCCCGCTCAAAGTTGGGTAGTTTGAGGTTTTCAGGTGTTTGTTTTACATGTTTTTACGGCTGCAAGGCATTGATTAAAATTTAAAACAATTATTGTTTCATGTTTATAAAGACCAGTAGTCAATTAATAAATCGTTATCGTTCGACCCAAGGTAATAAATTCTTATAGTTTTGTACTTGCTAATACTTACAACACGAATACGGACTATGGACCTTCGTGGACTTTAGTATCCATGATATCACAAATTATAATCAAAGTTTGATCATTTACAATTGTTTGATATCTTAGTTTAATGGTAACAATAACCACAGATATATATACCTATCTGACAATATCATAATATATAAAAGTACCTCCTAAACCACGTGACAAATGATAATACTTTAGCTATAGATAAACTCCCAACGGTTGCCGATAAATAAAGATAATATACATTTTTAGTATGTAACCAATATGCCGAATAATGTTCAAACTTTTAAACACAAAATAATATAAAACTCATTAGTTATTTACTCTTAACTCGTCATTACTCGTTTGACATTTAACATGATTCAAGTCGTCTTTTCTTTGATTGAAAATTTGAAAATTGAATAATTTCATTACTTTCATTAATAACGTAAACACTAAATACGTCATACGTTAACATTCATATAATTACAATCGAAACAATTATTACTCTGTAATATAATATTTTTATACAAATCAAAATTATGACTATCTATAATAGATAGCTATATACTTTTTATGATGTATTTTAGTTTGCTATTTAATCAAGCCCAAGTATCATCCAAATTGATATTACGCATTTGAATTAAATAAGTATCAAATTAGCGTTTCAGTGAAAACATTGTAATATTTGTTGGTAAGTTTTATTAATTTTGTAGTCAGCTATAATAGAATTCTAATAAACAATTTATTTTGGTTCAAATGTTTATTGATTGACAATTTATTACCTATTGATTTATTATGTAATATTCATAGTAAGATAATTTATAACTTTTACTAGTTGCATCATAACTTCACAGCTATTAGTTTCAATTATTAACCCAGAATATTTGTTGCATATTAAAATCCTGCATATTGATATTCTAAGATAATTTCTATGTAAAAAGAACATTTTTGGACGGATGATTTAAAGAATATTCATACACCACGATTGTATTCAAAAAACTCAAGAACAATGAAAACTAAAAAAAATTTAATATTTTAACGCAAAATAACATTAATTAGGTGTATATAAATATTTTTTACCTGTAACATTATTTAATTTTGTTGGCAAGTTATTAGATTTTTACTTTCTTTTTCTTTTAGATAATCTAGTTCAAAGAAATTTAATATAATCAAGTTTGCCCAACTACATTCCTTAAGAAAACTGTATACTATCAAAAATAATGTGTAAAGAAAATTAAAAATGATAAAAAAAATTGTTAGTGTTAATATATTGTACCTAATTTTAATATTTCAATGGTAAAATTTAATATAGGGCAACAGCAGCAGTAATTAAAACTTAATTCATAAATTTTATGTTTTTAATAATAAGAAGAATAGAAGAAAATAATTATATTATGTACAGATGGTATAAATTAAATTAATATTTCAAAAAAAACCTATCACGCATGTATATGATGATTACTAAGTAATCATTTACGTATACGATATGCCCAATTTTAAATATTTTAATATTAAATATTTAAAAGAGTATATTTTTAAAATTATATTGATTACTTAGGAACATGCTAAATATTGACATTCTTTTAGTAAATGGTTAATGTTGTTAGCTATTTATTGCTAAATATTGATTAGTAGTTATTCTTATTACTGATAAATAAATATATTATTATTGCCATTTTTAAATGTTACTATTGTTTTAAGCCTGCCGCCTGGGGTTAATGAAGAATTTGTTCTTATTTTTTGAATATATGTTTATCATTACTCATATTTTGTATAATTGCAAAACGAAAATTTTGATTAATCTATGTCTTCAAATTTAGAATAGATTTTTCATAATACTAGACTTTAAAAATGATATCAATATTTTATGGTGGTTTCTTATAATATAAAATAAAATAAAGTAAAGGATTTATTTGTGACTAGGGGCCCGGTTTCAATGTAAGCAATTATAGAATATGAACAAATTTATGCATTAACAATAAATATATTGTTTGTGAATAATTTATTAATTCATATAAATACTTTGAAAATTAAATTGAGTATTTAAAGATGTATTTATTACGAAAAAATTGAAATGTAATTATAAAGAATTATAAATTTGTAATTGCATAACTGAGTTAATATAATTTTATTTAATATTTATAAGATATTAAATTTGTATCCAATAGGTATTAAGTATAACTATCAATAAAATTTAGAAATTGTGTTAAATTTTACTCAAATACGCAATAAGATTGTATAAGCTATTGAGATAGATATTTTATTTACTATAAAAACAGAATCTATGTATTAGAAAATATTTATCGTTTATATTTAATCAAAATTATTTTAAATATAGAAAAAAAAAAAAAATTATTGTAAGAAATCGGGCCCTTATGCCTTTAATAAGTTGTTTGCTTAAAACATAAATGTGTCTACCAAATCTAATAATAATTACATACTTGTCTTGTATTGCCCAATCATAGTATGCATAATTATTATGCTTTGTTTCAAATGACTCCCTATTCTCAAGTCCTGTCTCCGACATAGGGTATTCACTTACGTCTTACAGCGAGTTTTAACGGTTTTAATAAGAGTATAAAATTATTATAATTATGTATACTTAATATTTATACCATATTATATCAATAACATAATATTTCTACGAATACTATATAACTGTAAAATTAGATTATTTAGATTTATAGTAGTACCTAGTAAAAATAAACAAAAATGTTATTGCGTTCAGTAAAATTCATAATAACACAGGGTGGAATACTCGAACGGCCGATTTTAAAAATAGATTTTCCCAGTAATAATTAAGATAAGAATATTATCGCTAAATATTATTAATTCTAAACAACGTGTACCTACCATTTACGATTTAGTATTCGTGGAACAGCGAAGTGGTGAACGACTTGCTCGTCCGATAAAATTGTTTTACAAAAATAATGACAATTACGTAGCCGCAGTGCGTTCATTTCATCTTCACTTTAATCTTTAACGCCATGATTCGGTACTATCTGCTAAGGCTATTAAAATATGGATTACTAACTTAGAAAAAATGTGTCCCTGAAAGAAACCCATATACGAAGTAAGCTCGAAAAGAGATTACCATCATATTGAGGACATGATTTAAAAAAAATAAATGGTAAGTTGTATACTTCCTTATAATAGATAATAATTAATTTTTTAATTCGTTTTTTATTTTATTATCTTTCAAAATTGGTTGTTTTAGTTTCTAGAAAATAATTAACCAGAAAATAAAGGATAAGGCTAGTTCTATGGGAACGTAGAGGTCTTTGATGAAGCTGGCAGCTTCTGTCTGGATTGACCACATCGTCGCTTTCGCTAGTATATGTGCACCTATCACCCGAGCAAGAGTTTTCAACACAAGATTCTACGAGCGAAAACTGAACCTTTTATTTTCAGTAAGTTAAACCAGTAATGTTTTTTTATTTAGACTCAAGTGTTCAGAAAGTTGTCTTCTCATTTGTGTTACCTTACTTTTTCCTAACAAGTATCACATATTGTTAAATGTATAAAAATACAACCTAATTTAAGTTAATATAAGTTAGTCATAAAATGTTCAGACACAAGTTTAAAGAAAAAAAAAATAATGTAAAAAATATATAATCTATTTAATTTAATTTAATATAATTTAAACATAATGTTTATGTACAATTGCAAAAAAGAAAAAAAATATATAAGACTATTGCACTAAAAATGTACTAAATATGCATACATTTATGCACTGTTAATATTTTAAATATGCAAAAAATCAATGAAAAAAATGTCTTTTATTTTTATTTAGTATAAATAAATAAAATAGATTGAAAGTTATGCATACATGGATCACGACAAAATATGTATGATTCACTAAAATCTACCTAATAATAGATTACTACTTGTCTTGATAGGTTTCCATAGGCGCACCCAGAGTTTTACATTTGAGTGTGCCCGACCTTTATTTTGTAGTTATTATTTTTATCTATATTCTATATGTATAAATGAATGTAAAAATAAAATATTTCAAATATCCGACACTTTTTTACTAACCAATACTAAAACTTATTGTATAATATTTACCTATTGGTAGCTATTAGTGATATACAATATACTATTTTTTTTTCAATTAAAGAAATCAAAAGAAATGGTTATAAATTTACAAGTTAAAATAAATAAAGTTTTGATTATCTACCTCCTGTAACTTGTAAGCTAACTATATTTTATGTAATATGTAAGTAGGTATTGATTATAATAATTTTTTGATTAATTTCATAATACATTAGTTCATAAATCATTATTTTAAATTTATTAATAAACTGAAACAACACTAGTATAATTTATTATATTAATTTATAATAACAACCGTCTTTGAAATGGCACAATTCTTTTAAATTCTTCTATAACTTCAGAAGCTTCAACATAATCCCGTATAAACTATAGGTATAATATTAATATACGAGTAATAATAATATCATCACGACGGCGGCGCGGCGGCTATAGAATTTTAAGCCGCGTACACACTTGTAACATTTGCGCGTAACGTAACGCCGTAACGTAACATAGACGCGTAACAGCAATCGATGTGTGGACGTGAAGGCGTAACACCGTCGCGTAACAAAAGTTGATACGCGACGAAGTTACACCGCGTCCCAATAGTTGTCGGTAAATTTGAACCGCATCAAAAGATTGTTGCGAGGTGGGGATACGAATAGTGTGGACGTAAATAATAACGCAACTTTGCAACATTTGTATTGTGACAGTTGTTTTTCGGTTTTCACGCTTGTCAGTCGAGCCGCTTCACATTTCTAACTAAATATTAAGATATGGATTGGAACGAACAAAATACTATAACATTTATTGAAATGTATGAACAAAAACCAATACTTTGGTGTGCAAAACACCCTCAGTATTATAATAAAATTAAAAGAAATGATGCTTGGGAAGAAATAGCAAAAGAAATTGGGTTTTCAGCTGATGAATGTAGAAAAAAAATGACTGGCTTGTCATCTGCAATGAGACGAGAAAAAGCTAAGATTAAAAAAAGCTTTGGAACAGGAAAAGGTAAGAAAAATAACATGTAAAATTTAACGATTTTAAAGTACCTACTTAATAGTTATATTTTTCATAGGTGCAGATGAAATATACACAAGCTCTTGGTATGCGTACAACCATATGAAATTTCTTTGGGATAAGAATACACCTTGCCAAACAACAACTTCTGTGAGTATAAAATAGTTTATATTTTATGTCATTAGTATTTATAATAATATTTAATATACAATTTTAGCATTTTTTCAATAAATTAGGCTAAAGAATTTTTAATTACTATTGATAAAATAAGAAAGATACAAATGCAAAATAAACAGTTAGTGTTAAATAAATTATATTAATAGAACACTCTAAATAAAAATAAATACATACCTAGTAAAACAAAACATAATCAATAGTATTGTTCAAAAATAGTTGGTAATGTTGTCAAATCTAAATATAATGATTACTATCTACACGAATATAATAACAAATTTATTATTATACTAATAATATTTACAAAATATTTATAACCATTTACATTTCAATATAATAATGTACCTATGCATTGTGAATAATATTTATATTGTATTAATAATGATTATGTTTACCTACTAGAAAAATGTATGCATTCAGTTTTATTTATTTTGTGTTTTTTAATTTACCATTAATATTATGAATATTCATTTTGCCAGCTAATTTGTCCTTCTTTTATAAAATAGTCAGCCAATTCTTCTCGAATTTCTTTTGCAGCCAAACATGATTTACGTGGTATATTTTTTAATGGAATTAAAGATGTTCTATTATCATAATCATTTCTCCATGAGCCATTTATTATCTCCCCATTCACAACAGAGTCCATACTTCCTGGTGGTGAATAAATATTTAGAGATGTAGTATTTCTTCGCAAAAAATTATGAAGATGCACTACTGCTCTAATAATAATTTGTGCTTTCTGAGGCTCCAATAATAGTGGTTTTCGAAGTACGCGAAATATAGATGAGCTGATCCCAAAGGCATTTTCCACTACCCGCCGAGCTCTGGACAGCCTATAATTATATATTCGTTCACGGGAACCTTTTGGATGTATACCGGAAAATACTTTCATTAAGTTTTCATTTAAAACAAATGCGCCATCTCCAATAAAAAAATAAGGAATTTCTTTTTCTCTGTTAGTTAAAGGTTTAGGTTTTGGAAATCGCAATTCGTTTTTTTCAATTTTTTTGTATAAAGTAGAATTTTTATATACTCCTCCGTCTGAAATTCTCCCCTGGCAGCCAATGTCGACATACATAAAATTATAATTGGCGTCTACTAGAGCAAACAGGACAATACTAAAGGTACCTTTATAATTAAAGTATTCAGTACCACTGTTAATAGGAGCTTGTAGAATAACATGCTTTCCATCTAATGATCCTAAGCAGTGAGGAAAGTTCCAATATTCTTCAAATTGTTTTTCAGTGTCTAACCAACCTATTTCTGTTGAGGGTATCTGAAATCAAGTAATTAAAGTAATTAAATAATTATTTAATAATGAGGGCAAATTTAAAATAAATCCGACTTGAATAAAAAAATCTAACATGAATTAAAAGATAATATTTTAAATTGTTTTGGTACATAGATTTTTTTATTAATAAGGATTTTATTCAACTCGGCTTTTTTTATTATACTCAATTTTTTTTAAATACTAAATAAAATAAAATAATAAAATAGTCCGATTTATGTTTTATTAATTATATGTAAAAAATTTGTTGTTTATGTTAATGTTTCAACTAGGCTTTTTAATTTAAATTAGATTTTTTTTACTAAATATAAAATCTTAAACAATTAAAACAAATCTTAATTTTATAAATAAAATATTAATCTGATAACAAAATCGTAGTTGGATAAAAAAATCTAAAATCTAACTTGACATTTTTTTTAGTCAAATTAAATTTTATATTCATTTAAAATTTTTTTTTCAAATTAGATTTTTATTGGAATTAGATTTTTTAAACTTGGTATTTTATTCATATTACATTTTTTTATTGATACAACAATTTTTATTCAAATAAGATTGTTTATTTAAATTTAATTTTTTTATCCTTTACAAACTACTTACAAACCTTTTTTACCTAATGTTTTGATGCAAATTTTCGAAATTGGGGAGGCTGGTAAAATAACTCTCTTTATATTTACAGATACCGATTGAAAAAGAGATTGACATGACAGAAATGATCGGAAATGATATAGCTTCTCCAAACTCGTCTCTATCACCACCGCCAAGCTCATCTCTATCACCACCGCCAAGCTCATCTCTATCACCACCGCCAAGCTCATCTCTACCACCACCGCCAAGCTCATCTCAGCTACCACAACCTAGTCTTTCAACGCCTAATCTAGCGTCCTCAAAAAAAAGAAAGAAGCCAGAAGATCCTCGATTAGATAAAGCTTTTGAACTTTTAACTGCTGCTGCTTCTGCTACAAATGCTGACGAATCGCAAAATTTTGGCGATTTTGTGGCAAACAAACTAAGAAAGTACTCAGCTAGAACACAAAGTGCAATTCAACATGCGTTTATGGGTATTTTTCTGAATGCAGATAATGGCATGTACGAACAGCCTTTGATACCTCAGCAGGGCCGTCCTTAGGATTTGCGAGGCCCAGGGCGAAAATTTTTGTAACACTGTTTTGCTACTATACGAGTATATATATGTACTATAACCATATAAAGACATTAATATTTTATATCCTACAAAGCTCATTTATTAAAATTTAAAATGAGAGTTTTTTTTTATAAAATATTATAAATGAAATAAAATAATAATTGTGCAGTAGCATTAAATACATGTTTTTTTTATTTAATTACCTATAAATCATTAACTTTTGATATTCATACAAATTTGCTTTAATTTAATAAAATACAAAAAAATAAAATGAAATAAAAATAAAATATGAAAATACATTTTCAATAAACAGATAAATAAAAATAATAAAAATACAATAAAAAATCGTTTTACATTTAAAAATTAATTTTTCTGGCTTTTATTTCTGCGAACTTTTCAATAATATCGTTATAGTCTATATTTTCACATAAATCTCGTTCTATTGAAATAATCGCTAAATCAGAAAGTCGATCTTGCAACATTGTTGTTCTCAAATAGTTCTTAATGATTTTTAGCTTTGAGAAGCTTCTCTCAGCACTTGCAGTAGTTATTGGAAGAGTTAATAATATTCTTAATGCAATAGATATGTTCGGAAATGAACCACATGTTGATTCTATTAAATTAAGACACTCAATAGATGTCTTTGGTTTGTTCAAAATTCTACAAAATATTTTTAACTCGTCAAAAAGTTCAATTCCACTTAAATCACAATTTTCACCATCCTTTAATAATATTTCTAAATCCATACAATGTTTTCGTAATGTTTCATCTTCAAATAACTTCAAATTTTCAATATTATATAAGAATCCAAAATTTTCTGAATGATGAGATAATTGCTCAAAGCGTTGGTTAATTGATACGATTGCTTGATCTACCACTGTCAAAAAATAATCTTGATAAAATTTTTGTTCATTAGAAACTGTACGTGTATCATTACTTTCATAACCAAACTGCTTACTTTTTTTTAGAATTCTAGATTGTTTAAAAATTGCTGGAGTTCCAATGTCTTCACATAATTTTTGTGCAGTTTTTTTTGATAACTGAAACCCCTTTTCTCTAAAATTAGTAAAAAAATCTTTAAGACCACTTAATAACTGAACAGCATTACTCAATTCCATACTTTCGCTCTGAAGACTCTTACTAACTTTATTAATAGCAGATAGTAGTTCATACCAAATAACAACACTTAAAATAAAATCATAAGAAAATTCATAATTTGCCAAAGACGAACTTTCACTTTTTATTTTAGGATCTTTTGTTAATTCACTGACTTCTACTAAAGCATCGTGTACTTGGCATAATTGAAAACGAAAGGGTTTAATTGATTCGATCCGAGATTCCCATCTGGTATCTGATATTGGTTTTAAAGTAAAATCTGAAAGGTATTTTAAAAGAATAGTCCATCTTTCAGTAGAAGCACTAAAAATTGTATAAATTCGTTGAATAACGCCAAAAAATGTCATAGCAGCCGGTACAGACGATGCCATATCTCCGAGAAGTAAGTTAAGGCTGTGAGCAGTGCAAGGTACAAAAAAAGCTCTAGGGTTCTCTGAAATAATTCGTGATTGTACTCCCTGTTTGCGGCCTATCATATTTGCCCCATTATCATATGCTTGGCCACGGCAATTTTTCAAGTCTAGGTACATTAATTTTAATTGTTGTTTTATTTCCTCAGTTAAATTTAAACCAGATTTTTTTGAAGTATGTATAAAGCATATAAAATATTCATTTATTTCATACTTCAAATTTTTCGAAATTTCTACAATACGTATAAGAAATGTAAGCTGCTCCTTATGACTTTTATCGGGTGTTCCATCTAATAAAATCGTAAAGTATTTACTCTGTTTAATGCGATTTATTATTTCATTACGTATTTTTGTAGCAATAATACTTATAAGTTCATTTTGGATCCTAGGTCCTAAATAATGATCATGTATTTCGTCATTACATACGCGTCTCAAATGATCGGCCATAATTATATCAAATTTTGCAATCATTTGTATTAGTCCTAAAAATTTACCATTATTTGCTGTAAATAATTTAGAATTTGTACCACGAAAAGCGTCATTATGTTCTGCTAAAAATTCTATACATGCAATAATTCGTTTAAGAATACTACGCCAACGTTCTTTTTCAATATTTAAATTATCTTGTATATTATTATCTACAGTTTTATGAAGATCAAGTCTCATACGTAATTGTATCCATTTTTCTTGAGCTGTATTATGTGGAATAGATAATTCATGTTCTTTTAAACGTTCACTAATCTGTTTCCAATTTGAAAATCCTATTGATGCCAAAGATGATATAGATTTGGACGGGAATAAACGACAATACATGCAAAATACTCTATTTAACGATTTAGAGTACAAAAGCCAATTTCTAATTACATTTTCACCGTTAGCCATAATTCGATCATAATGTTTAACGCTAAATTTACGACCTTCATCGTTTGATGGAAAATTAAAATTTATAATTTTTGAAGGTGGGTTTTTAACAAAATAAATTCGTAATTTATCATTAATATTTTGTGGCCAGTTACCTGGATCTTCGTTGTCGCAGTTTTCTTCTTCAGGTACTTCTCTGATCTCGATGTCTTCTTTCGGTTGTAAATTGTAATTTTGTTTAATGTTTTCATATTCACCATTATCACTATCACTGGATTGAACTTTTTCAGAATTAATATTATCATCACTATCACTTAATTGAAAGTTCTTATTTATTTGACTTTCAATTTGACTACTCCCGGCTGTACTGTAATTTTGGTCTTTTTTAAAAAACTTGAATAAAGCGTTTTTTTTGGCGTTCATGTTGATGTTCTTTAGTAATTTTATGTTTTCGTTTTTCTGCGCCACTTTTAAATGTTCGATATTTATCACGTAATCGACCACTCATTATTATATTATTGTATTAGCCAGACCCGATGTTAAGAGCAAACGAACACACGTTACACACTAAACGATTAAACACTACTACAACTAATAATATCAGTTTACTATTTTGCTCGATAAATATTATTTACAATTATCATTTATCAATATTTTTAGAACGAGCACTAATTCCAGTTTAAAATACTAGCGTTTTAAATCTATTATTAACTCAACAAAAAAGTCAGTCGGTGACCCCCTACCCGCATCACCATGACTAATGTGTTGCGATCATAGACATATTTATACAGCTATATTATAATATATATGGTTGCGATAACGATAATATTATTATTGGATATTTCGATATTTTTACGTTGAACTTATTTCATTATTTTGGTATCATGTTTGATATTTACTATATTATATAAAACATTCAATAATTTAAATACTATGAAAATTGTTTTACATCAATTTTACAATTTTTTTTTCGAACGCGAGGCCCCAAATTTAAGCAAAAAGCGCGAGGCCCAGGGCCTGGGCCCTGCTCGCCCCCCCCTAAGGACGGCCCTGTACCTCAGTATACTTTTGATTATCCTTCACGATCTACAACTGCAAACATGTCTCAGGATTCTAATTTGTCATCCCCATACTCTACTGAAACTCCGACTCCTGAACAAGTTTGTACACATCAAGTTGATGACGGAGACATTTTAAACTATCCGATATTAAATTAAATTAATTTTTTTATGTAAGTTTTTTATAGAAGTAAATAAAAAAATAAATTTTATATGTGTATATTTACCTGAATATTTTCCTTTAGTGCTTCCACTAAAGCTTCACAGACTTCTGGTACTATTTGACTTATGGCTTGTTTTGATATTCTAAAAAGATACTGCAAACTAGAATAATGATCGCCTGTTGCTAAAAAGCGTAATGTTATTGACAGTCTTTCTTGAACACTTATTGGTTTTCTCATAAAAGTATCCTGTTTAGCAATTTTTGGACCAATCATATTTATCAAATACTCAAAATCAGTAGGTGACATTCTCGTAAAGTTTTTATACTGGCCACTAATTTCTTGAAATTTTAAATCAGCCAACAGTGTGTTGTTATTTGCAAGACACTCGTTTCTTCTTGAGTACAATCGTGTCTGCCACCATCTTCTTTGTTTTGATTGTTTTTTTTTTAGTGATAAATGAATATATATATATGCTGCAGCACTAATTTTCAAATTATACATTGTTCAAAAATAAAATTAAAAAAATAAAAACTCGAAGAACGTACTACCACTGCAGAGAACCACGGTAAAATGAAGACTGAAGGTACACCACCAAGCGTGGTGGAACACTACGCAACATAGCAACATCGCAACATTGCAACACCTACACACAAAATATGATCTCGTAACATGTAACATGTAACATGTAACACGTTACGGCGTTACGGCGTTACGGCGTTACTCGCAAATGTTACAAGTGTGTACGCGGCTTTATGATGTGCGGTGAATTTTGTCGCTCAAATAGGACGGCAACGACGTACGGCGTGTTTAATTTTGTATTATGTATTATTTTATCATTTTAATTTTTTGGTGAGTTCTTAAATTTTTTCACTGCACTTCTGTGCTATACTACTACGAGCCGCCACTGGGTATAACTGAGATAATTATATAAAATAGTACTTACATTTAATATTTAAAAGTTCGAGGTTGTTGTACACAAAGTTAACGTCTTAACAATAATATTAAAATGTTACCTAAGGTAGTAATGTATATGAGTACCTAGCTTGAAACACGACGTAACGTTAAATGAAATAGTAAATACCAATAACTATCAAACTATTATTTGTTAATCGTCGAGACGTTGACCGTCGTTATCAGCGCGATGTCGGTTTCCGAAAAACAACAATATTTTTGCGCTAAAAATAGTTACCAGTTGGCCATCACCACTATTGTCTGTTAATCTAAGTTTTTGTGTTGTTGTCGACGACTATAACATTAAATAATTCAATTTATAGTTATTACTTTAGAGACTTATTCTGCGTAATTTAATTTACAAAAAACTGAAATTCAATTAATGAGTTGTTATTAATTTTTTTTTTCTTCATACATTAGGGTGTGCCTTGGCACACCCGGCACACCCTGTAGATCCGCCTATGTAGGTTTCAGATAAGATAAGAAAACAACTTGGTCAAATTACATGGACTATAAATATAACTAATAATACGTTATTTAAATTAAAATAAACAAAATATTACATATTATTATACATTAATAACCGTATAAATGCAATAAAAAATCATAAAATACAGAAATATGCAGTACATGTCAAAAAATGACAAAATATGCAAAAATATGTAAAATAAAACTATATTTAGGATCTATTAACTACAAATCAAACTTTTAGCTCACCTAGCTATTTTTTGGACTATTCAGAAAAAACATGCAAAATCATATAAATCCGGGCTCTATAATATAACCAACTTAATTTAAGTTAATATAAGTTAAACATAAAATGTCCAGACATACGTTTTTATTGTATTGTAAGTTTCAGAATTTTAGATTTTTAAAAAGATTTGTAGTCATTAAAGAATAAAAATATTTTTTAAATCCACTAAAATAACCTTATGGGAAACCTCATGTTAAAATATTCAAATTTTAGTTTTTTAATTTAATTTTTTTTCAAAACTGTCTATAAATAGCATTAAAAATGCTAAAATGTTTTGAAAATTATATTAAATTAAGTAAAGGTTATTATGAATATTTTGTGAAAATGCCAAGTCTCTATAACTATTTATTTTTGAATTACAAAAAAAAAAGTTAGATTTTATTAAAAACTATATAGTTTTATGTAAAAATTACATTTTTCATTATTTTTTCTAGATAACTATGAAAATAACTGAGGTATTTTTATTTTTATCATTTATAAGTACTAACTAGATCCATATTACTTCTAAGAATCATCTTCAAAGTTATATCTTAGAATTTCGACTATACATATACAGGAAAAATTAAAATATGAATTATTTAGCTGAAAATCTAAAAAATGTACTATTTCTAACAAATTTGTAGATCCATTAGTTATTATGATGAGATTTGAATTCACAGTATAATAGTATATTTAAGATTCTCATACTAACTTTGAGAGTAACCAAAGTATAACTAAGTTAATTTAAATATTTTAATAGTTAAAAATATCCAAGTACGAAATTTCAAAACTATTAAAATACATTTTAGTTCTAAACTTGATATTTGTATGATCATTATTTTTCGTGACGATTAAATTAATATTAATAATGACTTATTCTAAAAAAAAATACTTTTGATTTTATTAAAACAATTAGTACTGTGTATTAAAAAAAAAATTAAAATTAAACACTACCAAAGATTTCATGTGCATCATAAATTATGAACTATTAAAGACATAGTTTAAATTTTTTTTGTATAGATACAACTTTATTTAATAATATATATAAATGTTAAAAGTTTATACAAGTTAATATAATTTTTATTTTGCATTTACATTTAATATCTCGATTTGTATATTTTTATTATACGAGTAAAAAAAAGAACTTTTTCTCTTGAGTGAGTAAACAGATACTATAGACTTGTACCGTTCTAGATAAAATTACAAATTAGTTATTTGTTAATATTTTATTATTCTTATTAGTTGAAATGTTCGATGGCGTCACAAACATAGTTGTCACAACTCACAAACTAGTTTCTAGGGCAATTGTCCCATAGAACTTTAAATATGTGAGTAATTATAAATTGCAAATAGAGTATAAAAATATTTTTATATTTGATTATTATTATTATTGAATAAGTAAAATATTAATATTAATTCAGTGTGATAAAATAGTATTGTATATTAGATATATTTTACTGATTTACTCTAAAAATCAACACATAAGCAAAAAAATAAATACAGTATGCTTGTATAGTTGATTTTTATATTTAATAAGAGAACTGGAAATATAATATTATATTTTATGCATAGAGTTTTTATTATTGAAAGTTACCTATAAGTTAAGTAATGGAACATATAACCTATTATATTAATGTTAATTGATATAATAAAATAATATTATACACAAGTCGTTTTTTAATTTTATACGTGGAGTAGATTGGTAACTTTAATATTTACCTATTTGCTCTTATAAATAAAACCTTCATAATGGAATTGAAAATGGTGATAATTTAGTGACTTTGTAGTTATGAATTATATTAATAAAATATAACTTAACATTTTAATAGCTATATTTTATTACCAATATAAATTTATATTATTATCAATGACATTGTATAATGAAATTTGAAATGTTATATACATATTAAAATTTAAAATTTAAATGTATAAAAATGTTTATGCTTATTATAGATTTTGATAAAATGTATTGAGTATGAAATCTGGATGTGTTATTAATTATCTATCAATGGTTTTTGTAATACTTCTAAATTTTAAAATCTATCTACATAAAATAAATACCCTAATATACTCTATTCTACCTACAGAAAATCTAAGAAGTATGTTTATGAAATCAATTGAAGAAATACCTTGAATCAAAATTGAGTGTTTGAAATGTTTCTAACCGAATTGTACTACACTCAGTAAACATTTTTTTTTACCTTTTCATTAGTAATAATTAATCATTGCGTTCAATAATAAAATGTTTAATAATAACAATTTACAATGATATTTATATTAAAACCGAGGTTATATTTTAAGAGTTGTGTTAAGTAGGTAATCGAAATGGAACCAATGCCTGCGACACCCAGCACTATGTATGATAATTGTAATGTGTACCTAAGTATTAAAATATGCTACGAATTTGTATTCATATGGCCATATGGATAATAGGTATCTGTTTTAATTATTTTGTCAGTGCTTTTTTAAACATTGGAGTGCAGATGGAACGCTCAAAGTTATAGTAACAATATTTTGTATAATACCTATTAAATAAGTTGGTATGTATTTTAAATATTTGTGACGTGTAAATATAATATATCCGATCAACATTCAGTTTAAATATTTATTAATCAAAATAAAGTGCAATTGTTAAGACATGAAATTCCTAGTATCTACCTAAAATAGGCTGTAATTTAACAAACAATACGTATAATATATTAGTATACGTTATAATATGTTAATTTGTTTTGTTTACTTTAATCGATTGATATTTATTTTCATTTAAACAACTGCATTCCGTTATTTCCATAGACCTGAAATATCCTGTAATCTGTATCTATTAGATTATCGCCGTGAAAATAAAACAATGACCCTGAGAAATACACCCTAACCTAACCTGAGCCAAGCTGCTAAGCACGAGCATAATTAAAATAAAAAGGATAGATAAGATATAGAAATACAGATTATAATAATAATAAAAAAAAAATTCTATTAATAGAATACCACTTAAAATTTATTGAGTTGTGATATTTGTTACAGTTTTAGATATTGATTCCAAAAACTGAGACACTATCTCTACCGTCTATGATATTCGTTATCACTACCTATACAACGGTTTTTACGAACAAAAAGTACTATTGAATTTTTTATTAAAATTATTAGCATACCTGGCCATCTCGATAGATAGAAATTATCTAAATTAGATGTGAAAATAGGTATGTAATTATTTTATTACATATTGGACAGTTATTACTGGTACAAAGTTCATCACTGCGTCGAAAAATAGTCGTTAATGAGTTTATTTACACATGAAAATATGTATCTATATTACTATTATTTATTACCTATGTAACAGCAGGTCTTCAGAAACAATAAGTATAATAAAAACCTAACTTTGAGCAGCTATAACTCGTTAACGGTTAAAATGGAAATTAATAATTATAACGTTAAAATTCATATAGCCCTATTATTATATGACATTTAAAATATAGGTTGCCATTTTAAAATCAAAAGTTGATAGTGGTTTCACTATTAAATATAAGCGTGAAAAAAATAAAATTTTTATATAGTTCTAGACAAGCATAAAACTATACATTTTGAGAAAAAAAATTTAAAAAAAAGTCTACACATTAAGAAATAATGAGTCTTTAGTGATAAAAGAATTACTCTTTATATAATTCGATATTTCAACACGCAATGCGTACTAAATTATATTTTACAAAATTTTAGACTTTGGATGTAGCGATGAATGTATTGATTTTACAATGGTATATGTTTTAATTTTTTTTCGTTTCTAGAGACATTTTTTCTTATAGAAAGTATGCTCTAATTATTAACTTCAGTGGAGGTGTCTGGTAGAAAATTTGTTCTAGATAGTATTTTAAAAGATTTAGAGATCTAATAAGTTGAAAATTCTCAGTGCTTTTTAAAATATCATAAAAATATCTTTTTAAATTTAAATTTATTATTTAAATAATTGCTTGATAACCTTGTTATTACTGGGAAAAAAATGAGTACGAAACCACAAATATTGTTATGCGAGTTTGAAGATAAAATTTTAAATAATTAGAAAATATATTTTGTGATTTAAATTTATTTTAATCCATTTTTCCATAAATTTGTTTTTATGCTTTCAAGTTATTGAGAAACGTATTAGAAAAAATATGTACTGCATAATAATGTTAATAATTAAGTATTAGTGTTATTAAGTACTACTGTTCCACTAATTACTAATATTAAAATAAATTATTTTAATAGCAATATCAAAAAAATTTATTATAAAATATATTTTTGTAAAATAGTTTGAGAGACCATCTTCACTCAGAATTGTTTTTCATATTATGTATTTATTAATCAATGCATTTAAATTGTACATTTAAATTTTAGTGACTTACTCAGTGACAAAGTAAACTCATTAGACACGTACTGTATAGCTGACCGGTTATTTAATTTCTCTCCTTTTTTTAAATTATATTTTTTTTAGATTTTTTTCAATTAGATTTCAGTAGTCAAACTTCTTGGCCTGTTATTTATTTAAAATTAATATCTATGATATTCAAATGATTAGGTACTGACTCTCCCAGCAAATATTTTCAAGCTGCAAAATTTATAAGTGATGTAGTTACTTGTTTAATGATAATTGCACCCTAGTACAAAACTAGCTTATTAGCTTACGTCTTAGTGATTTATATGAATATAAACTTAATATTATGCCAATTGATTTTTGAAAATGTTTGTTTAGAAAAATTTATTATTTTAGCAATTTACAACATATAAATTACACGAGGCTAAATTTTAGACTGGTATTTCTTATATCGTAACTAGGATGTAAAATGTACTGTATTAGTGTATTATTCTGGCGAAATTAATTCTTTCATCTAATATCTGAATAAAATAAAACATAATGTCTATTATTTGGTATCCTAAATATTCTGTTCATATATTATCTTTTAATTTTTAAACATTATAAAATATTTCAAAATAAAAAAAATTATCATATGCTTATATATATGTATTATACCTATATATAAAAAACAAATATACGTAGTCGCTATCCGGACATTTATTTTTAGAGACATTTGTTATTTCACTTTTAAGTAGGTTATTTTTAGATATTAAATTAAAATGTTTCTAGAACACTTTTCGATAACTTCTTATAGTCAACAGTAATTTTGAATAGAGCAATGGATGTATTAGTTTAATAGATTTTCACTAAACATTTAGATTTGTATTTTAAAGATAATTTGGCTCTTTTGTATGTTATTTAAAGATATTTGAAATGTCCTTACATTTTTTTTTTTTGACTTGTGTTGAATAAAATATTTATTGTTTTAATAAGCTTAAAAATTTAATTCAATATTCATAATAAATTGCTTTATATTGTTATAAAATATCAAAAATGCATAGTCACATTTTTTTATTAGCGTTTTAACTTTAAAACATTATAATTTAAAAGATATTGTGAATTAATGGAATTCATTTTGTTGTAAAATATGGATACAATTTATAACAATGTTTTAATTCAACGCCTAATGTTAGAAAATTAAATAAAGATTTTTCATAAGTTGTTCAAAAAAATACAAACAGAAGTTAAACGTTGCTAAGTTGGTAAGTCACATTTAAAAAATAAACAGATTTTAATTAAACGATTTTTTTTTTAGTTAATTTAATATAATTCCAATATACTGACTGAGGAGACTTGAAAATTCTTTGATTATTTAAATATTTAAATTTTTATTTTCTATACACAATACATTTTTTAATGTATGAGACTATATTTTTATAATACTTCTTTGATATGCTCATTTTGTTTTAAATTTTTTTTTTTTTTTTTAAACTGAATTCAAGGTTTTTTTTAAAGTAGTTTAAAGACATAAAAGTCCAGGAGTTGTTTATAGATAATTCAATTTAAAAATTTTATTGTGTTGCGTGTTTGAACGAAAAAACACAATAACACTTTATAACAAAATATGGAATTTTTGGATAAATTTACTTTTGACCTTTGTAACTCAGAATAGTTTTGTGAAAACTACTTATTATTATTTCTAAATTTAAAAATGTTCTCCTTAAGTGGTCACCAAACTCCACGTGTCGTGCTTCTTATTAAATGTTATTTACCTAAGATAAAAATCAGGACGAGTAGGCAGTAGGCATAATAATATTATTTATCTACAACCATTATTGTAGATTTTCAGTTAGTAATATTTTTAAAGGATTTGCGTGCCCGAGTCGGGTTGACCAGAGATTTAATCCAGACTTGGGCGTGGATTTATAGTCAAGAAAACAAGTATTTCAGCATTATTTGTGTTTTATTCTATATCGCATTTTTAATGTTATCTAACTTAAATGTAATAATATTATTAACTATTATATTATTTACCAGTTTCATACGAAGCATCAAAACACAAATGACCTTTTTTGGCTTTGCCACTATGACCGACCGGTCTCATGATTACTCTTGTAACATTTCCTAGTCCGGCTTCACCTTCATCACTGTCTGTTATAATTAACATAAGTAAAACGCAATTTAAATATAAATATATAAACAGGTTAACATAAGTATCTACCTATGCACACGCGCGGATAATAATCTACAACAATAATGAGTTTTCTTAATACAATTTGTGGTATAACATGCAATTACCAACATCAAATGTATAGTGTAGGTATAGGTATTTGTTATAAAATTTAATTGGGTATACTGCTATTAATATTTTAATTCTTTTACAAATATATTATATTTCATAAAACTTTATCATTGATTTTTTTTTTTTACCACTATAAGTTTTTAAATTTAATACTTAATTTTGTTCAAAACAAATATATTAGCGTACTAACTAAGCTTGTATGATAATAAAATGTGTATACCTAGTATTTAAAGTACATTTAAATCAAATATTATAGATTTTGAGCGGAAAAATAAGAACTATTAAAGTTTTTTATACGTTATACTTATATTCAATACATTATACCATTATGGTCACGTTTTAGAATCTGAGCGAATGTTTGTACTTCTATTTCTACAATGATGTGTCATTATTTATTTAGAGTGTAATTATTATGCTGATATTCTCTATCGAGGATGGTATTTGTAAGTAGAAAGTTAGTAATTTGGGAATTTTATGTTATTGTATAATATAGGGTCAAAAAAACAACAATTTTAGGTTTGTCGTAATTCAAAAATAATAACCGTACAAACTTGAAACATTTTACTATTGCTTATATTATTAATTTCCACACATAATTAAATTTTTAAAGTATTTAAACTTTAATTTAAAGCATAAATTTATTAACATTCGAGATTTTCAAATTTTAAACTCTAAGCGGAGTGATGAATGTATTTTAATGATGTGTGGTTTTTTTTTTCTGAAGATATTTATTGTACTATGTAGTAGTAAAAAATATATTGTTCCTCACGAGTTGTTTTTTTTGTGAACTCAAACATATTAAAAATACCTAGGTATGTGTAATTTCTGATTTCAGACATTTAATGATTACATTTTTACAATAATAAATATTTGAAAAAAAAAGTTATGATTATAATTATTTTTTTGTTGATTAAAAAAATGTATTATTTTTAAAAACATGAAATATTTTGCCTTAAATGTTTATTATTTTTTTTTCAAGCATAATTAAAGACTAAAAATATTTACACAATTTTTAGCTAATTAGATATATACCACTAAATTATTTACACCGTTATACGGCGGTATTTCGGTGTAGATTTATAAGGTAATAACAATGTAATATAATATAATAATATGATATATTACTTATTAAAGCTTAATATTAATTACCTATTCTATAATATGTGCGCTGTTTTTTGGTAAAAATTAGTTTTACTAACGATATTTATAGTGAATATAGGTAAATAAATTACTTATGGAAATATATACACAAATTAAATATATCCATAGAAATAAGCTTATAACTTATAAGTCGTGTCACTGTTTCCGTTCTTGCAATTCGCATGCAATGATTTTTTATCTTTGAAGTCGAATTAAAAAACGTCAATTTTAATGTCCTATTCAATGATGAGGTATATTTGAAACCTTTTTTTTTTTTATAGTAGAGTGATTTATCCGGTTTTATTAATTACAAATTCTGAAGAAACTATGTGCTTTAATTTTTTTGTCATCAATTTTTTGGATTTATAGAGAACTCAAAAATATTTAAAAAATCCTTATATTCTATATCTAAATCTAAAAGTTTAGCTCTAGTCAATTAATATACTTAGATGATTTTTTGTGGGTATTCTATATGATTGTAATTTCTTAACACTCATAAAACTACTAAATATTATCAATAGTACCTACGCCAAAAATAGTACTTAAAAAAAATCTTTTATGCATATCGCTGCAGTTTAAATTGATATCCACTCAGAATCATTTACGGGAATCGAAAGTTCGTTTTTATAAATAGTTTACATCAAAATATAATATCATTGTTCTGAGTGATATTGCTGAGTTGATGTGTCAAATCCAATTTCACTATAATTTAGGAATATAATATGGGTGAACTTGTAGATACAAAAAGAATATTAAAAACTAAACCACTGGTCCTACTCACGAGGTAACATTCGTAATCTAATATATGGCAGCAGTAAGTTTACGAATTTTTTTTTTTTTAATTGTAAATAGAGTAGATATTTATGCTATAACGCTGTGCAAAGATGATGATAATATTATTTGGGAGAAACGGTGTGACTATTACATGTAATGGTGTAGTGCATAATTTTATGTAGTATAGCTTAGTAGATATTATCATTACCAGATTCGTAATCCGCCATTTGGGTTGTTTGCTGATACTATTGGTGCGTTACTATGAAGTCCAGACACGTAAAAACGACTAAACGAACGTTGTATTCGAGCAGAAATTATTTACGAAAGGGATTGAAAAAAATAATAAATGTAAGTATACGACGCTACTAGTCGTACCTAGCGCGTGTTTGTTGTCATGTTACCGTTGCCAGACAAATATTCACCTGCTATTAGAACACGGCATTAACGCGCGTCCTGTCCCTGTTTACTATACTATACTGTTATATTATATTTTTTTACTACAGTCTACTTGAGGGAGGAAAGAGCTTATTGGTTATACACTTATACCTAAACGCAGCACATTTAGTAAAGATTGGTTAGTAAAGTATAGTGAAAGTAGGTACAATAGAAAGGTTATACAGAGTAATTTAAAATGCACGTTTAACCTTTTTTCATTTAATAATGAATTAATTACAATTCTGATTGTTATGTGTATTATTATTTCATATTTTCATATTCGTGAGATTTTTTAAATAATACTTAAGGAATGCCCCGTGGTGATAAAAACTTCTGTTTTTCAAATGAGAACCCCATTTTTTATTTTAAATTATTCTGTGATCTATTATCCTTAGTATATTATAGTGATTTAACTTGAAAACGAATTATGATAGTTAAATTTTTAAGAAAATTATTCACTAAATAATTTACTGTACTGGGGAAGTTGTCCAATCGAATTTTACATTTTCAAAAGACACTCATTAAGCAGTAAAAAATTTCAAGGATTTGCAAATGTTATTTTTAAGTATATTTAAAAATTGAAAAACACCAGATTTTGAATTAATTTATTATTGATAAAAAAAAAAATCGGAGTGGTATGCTCGGTGAATCATTCTCTACATTAAACGACATATACCCGATCCGACGTACTTATATTGCATACGAAATAAAATCAGTCAACTTGAAGTTGGTGAACGCGTGCGTATTAAATAATAATATGATTGAGATGTTTTGTTAAAAATAAATGGACAGTAATTTATCAATTGAATATGACGCGGTCTCGCGTAATATCTGTTTGAATTCAAACGGCCTTTACCGCCGACACCGCGAACCGGTCCTATGACTGAAATTAGTTTTTACCACCGCACCGTACGCGATTTCTTGTGTCTTCGGTACAGAGAACATTTTAGAGATTTACATTCTTTTTCCCTTCCATAATTGTCAATTTTATCCACGTGTTTAAGTTTGTCAATTACAACTGTGTTTCTGATTTTATTTTAATAAAGGATTAAACATCCAATTCAAATAACCGAACTTGTGTTTTTATTATATTAAAATCTTCCCGACGCTGCTCTCTCACTTGTCAGTGGCAATACCAGGTTCGCAACAAATTGGCTCCCCGAACAGGAATCACCGGTAAGTGAAACACTTTGTACCTTGCCCCTAACTACCACCATCATTTCCCCATTGTGCAACTTACAAAACTTTTCCCGAATACCACAAGACAAAAACGTGGTTTGCAGGTTATTACGTAACATAGTCATATAGTACGTAACGATAGCCGCGCCACCTGATTTACGGACGCACCGACTTCACCGTGCGCGACACTGCTAACACACGGGGAGTAGGATAGGTAGGAACGCAAGAGCGCGATAAGGTCTTTTTTTAATCGATCATGAATTAGATTTTTTAATATAAACGGAAATGATGAGCGATGCTGTTGTGTGATAAAAATTTAAAATTAATTTATATAAATAAATGGTGAATAAAAACGTTTAAAATACGTATTTATTTTTAAATATACATTTCGTGAAAAGTACAAGACTACTACAGACATCTTACAATTTACAAATGTTTTACTTTATTGTCTAAAGTATTGATTTCTTTAAACTAATCGTATATAAATTAATGTGAAAATCTTGCAAAAACAATAATCAAATCACAATTTTGTATTGAAACTTAATAAGAGATAATCTTCAATATAAATCTAAGAACATATTATTGAGATAATGTGGATATTATTGTATTATAATATAAAACAGTTGGGTTTATAATTTTGGATTTCTTTTAAACTATTTAAGTTCATTGTTGTTTGTGTATAATATACTATTCAATAGTATAACTATTAGTTAAATTTAATACAATCAAATTAACAATGATTATATTATAGTCAATTGGTTTGACTATACATATATATTAGTGAAATAGTAAAATAACATAATAGTAATTCAATTTTGACTTAGGTATGTGAAAATTCTGGACGTAGTATAATTGAACAGGCTACACAAATTGATAAAATAAAATTAGCTCCGTGATTGTTCATGAAAAAATTATTTTATGTACCTATGTAAGTGTGAAAAAAAGCCATGTAAACGAGGATAAATAAAAATGTGTAGTATAATTTTTATAAAATATTGTTGTCATGTATTATAAAAGTACCTATACTAAAAATATATTTATATATTTTTTAAAAGATACTTGATTATCATAAACAACTTGAGACCCTGTAAAATAATTGTTCCACTTCTATATAAAAAATATATAATTTTCCTAGAGGCTTAATTTTGAATTTACAAATTAACATTTTTTTAATATCTGCTACTTGACATAGGTACACATTATATATCATTGAGAATTCATCCCTTCTCTCACTAGATTGTATATTTACAAACTATGCCAGCCAAAAAAACATCAGCCTGACTGTTTAATGCTATGTATGTGTTTATTTGTAGATTAAATTATTCGTTTCGTATATGATAAAAACTGATAACAGTGGTAACCATCAATTATCATCAATGACTTATGATTGAAAGTTTAAAAATGTAATGTAATTTAATTTTAAATTATTAACACATATATTTTAAGTATCCATTTTTGATTCGATTCGTTAAACAATAATTTATTTGGTTATAAAATTAAATACAAACAAATGATAACAAAGTTTGATACTACACTTTTTTTTTATTTCACTTTTACTGAACACTCAAGTTTAACATTTTCTATTACGCAAAATTATAGTCTTACTCTTATACTTAGTTAAAGTCTTTAGGTGATCTATAAAAATAATTGTGTCGTTCAGATTAATGGCCTGTAATTTTCTTAATATATCCATACACTAACACGATTTCTATAATCCTATGTAGGTAATATGGTTAATACTTGATACCTATACCCATTTTTGTTTTTATTTGAAACAATATATATTATTATTTAACACCACGAAACTATTTAGTTTTAATTACGACTGTATAAGAATTCTGAATCAAAAAGTATTGGAAAAACACTAAAATAGTTGTAATTTTAACTTTCTACAGTTTTAATAGATTGAACATTTTCACGTGTAGAAGTTGAGAACCAACTTAAAATTTGATTTAAAAAATTTACAAAAATGAATTTGATTTCGATTACCATAACATATGGCATCTGAAAATCAAAAATATATTTAGTTATATCGATAAATAAAATCATCTCAAACATAAAAAATGCTTTAAGGCCATTACATTTACTTTTGAGAATTATTATTATTTACCATTTTTATTTCCCTAAATAATTATTCAAACGCAATTTAAGCTGTCCTTGGATTTCAAAAATATTTTTTTTAAGCTTAGTTATTGGTGCTAAAGTTAATAATTGTTTTTAAAAGATTTTTCAATTATTTTGTCTACCTATAGGCTATAATAATGATAATTATTTTTATTTGAATAGCCATTACGGTTCATATATAAAACTAAAGATAATCACTTAAAAATTATAATTTTTAAGTGTCCATACGACTATATAATATCGTATAATTTATTAGAATAGAAAAATAATTTCTAAATATATTTGTAGGTACCATTTTTATTGTTTTTATTTATTATAAAATAATTCTTGACGAACCGGAAAAATAAACTATATCGACAATAAAAGCTTTGTATACAAAAGTTATCGTCATTTTTATGCCACCGATAATTTGTTCAGATAATCTGATTAGTTAATCAATTCAATCATCAACAATTTAAACGAATACAATATATTTACGGAATAATTGGATTTATCGTACGCAGAATTTGGATAAGTATACACAACGTATTTTATTATAAATCGAATACGTCTGGTTATTAAATGTATTTCCACTTCATAGCTCGCTGTTTTAGATCGATCGGTTCATCATAAATAATGTATAACATATTAGTCGCACATAACTCTTGTGTGTCTCATGATTAGTAAGCTTTTGTGATTTTGATTAGGTTGTTTAAAATGTATACCTACATTAATATGTAATTATTTTTATTAAACAAGCTTATTTAGACTTAGGGTGGTTTTAAAACGTAAGTAATACATAGTACGTAATTGGGTACTGCGCATATTATTGGAAAAATAAAACAATATTATTATATTATATTATGTCCCTATATTCTATAATAATATATATCGATAATAGTTATTTCAAAAATTACCCTTACCTCTCCTAAGTCTTTCCGATGCCTTGGAGGAGGGTTGACGGTATAGCTTATATATTTTTAAACAGTATTCAATAAAACTCTATATTTAATTGTACATAATCTATAAATGATCGTATAAAGATCTTTTCTTAAAGATTTATGCAATTATAACTCAATGTAAGTCTCATGTCATAAGAAATTTCATTGAGGAAATTCGTTCTATGTTTTCTTAAAACTTTTGAAAACATATTTGACTCTTATACATTTTTGAAATTTAACTCCTAAAATTTTAAAAATTCGTTATTTTATTTTTTTATGATGTCAATAATATTGAAGAAAAAAAATTAATTTAATAATGAAAGAAAGTTTTTTTTTAAAAAAATTTCATGACAAATTCCAATATGTCTTTAAAAATGTTTTTCAATTAGGGTAGTTAATACGATTGGCAATAATGATACGCTTAGCTGAAAAACCAAAAAAAAAAAAAAAACTTAATTAATATTCTTATAGTGCAACGTTATTGACATGTGCGTGCACGTGCGAAAGTGTTCTATTATTTGGTTTTACACATTGTCACACGCACGCACACATCGATGATAACTTACTACGTACACATTTACACGATTCAATGCATCCGTATAGAAAAATATTTCAAATATTAAACTCCCTTATAAAAG